AGCGGCCGGGGCCGTGGATTGAATGGAGCAATCCAGTATATGCATGATGCGTTGCCTGATCAGCAATATCGCCCTGGAGCTTGCGCCAATATGGCTACCCACCCTAGGGTTGTTGACCTCCGGACACAGAAGCTCGAGTCTCTGTCCTGACAGTGAGCTTATCGCGTATACGAAGATGTCGGAGAGACGGGGGGAGGATCATGGGCTGCCCTCGGACTCGGACGCATGCGACGCCCGGAATCTCGGCATGGCCGTCAGTGAGGGATACCTTTCTAGAACGAGGAGGGTCGCTGACATAAAACTCCTCCAACGATTGCTCATGACAACGGTTACAGGGTAATTCGATCGATGCTGGGGTCAAAGGGTTACGGATTCCGTCATTCGTGCCAGCGACTCATCGCGATCGCACGCTTGGATGATATGATGTCTCTCTCGCTTCTGCAGATATGGATTCGCTGTCTGCAGTTGACTCGCTCGCTCGCCAGGCAGGATGCCGTCACGGGTGATCATGAGTTTTCAGACTCATTGCCGAAACGAGTCGTTAATCGATTCAGTGATTTTCGTCGACGACGAAAATGACGACGACCCGATGGCTCCCGAACCAATGGATTGAGGAATAATTTCCGGAGAACTCATAGCGACTTCGACTCGATATCTCATTTTCCCAGGTATGCCCCCCTCGACTGCGGATCTCGGGCGTATTAGCTGACACCTACCCTTGGTCGGGGCTTGAAGTAGATAATGATAATTATGCATCGGAGACATTCCTCACGTTATTTCCTTTTATCCGTTGTGTATTCTTCCTCGCTTCACCGGATTGGGATCCGGCAGCGAGACTTCATTGAGCTGGAGAATTCCCGCGGAAGTTCCAGCATGGCAATCACTAAGGAATATCACGTCACGCATACGAATCCCATCATTTGGCGAGCGTCACTTAGGACTAATGGTGCGGGGACAACTAATAGCCCCACCCACACAAGCTTCGCAATAGATTCTGGGACTATGATCAGCAATGCGTCACGATGATTCTGTACAGTTTGGGGACGCGACTTTCGGAGCGCATCTCTGATCTCGTCACAATCACTGATTGAGCCAAAGCAGATCTTAGAGATTTCCTGTCTGCCAGAATACTCTGGGATAACTGTAGACCGTCCCATGGGACGGGGAGAAGCCTCGGGAATGGAAAGCAACGGGTATCGAGGCGATCTGAGCGACGCTTACGCTTCTCGCGGTTCACATGGGGTGGACATCGAGAAATTCGGATGTCCATCCCAGGAATGTCGACAGTTGTCTCCCAGGATGCTCTGGGATGAGTGTAGACCCTGCGGATTCGAGTCGATCTGGGAAGTGAGCATGTGGAAAATTCTGAGTCAGAGAGCTTCGAGGCTCCAGAACCGACGCGCTCGGTGTAGTCGCGTAACAGTCCGTGGCTCTTGATTCCGTGGAAACCTCGTGATTCTCCGAACCTGCTCGACGCTGCACGTTCCCTCTAGCTGATCGTGAGGTCCCCTATCGAATTCGTGGACATCAGCACGGCAACAAACTCGATGACGATGGAATCATCACACGGAACCCATCGGACGTATCAGCCTTATTCCAAGTTCGGATGGGACATATCCTGACCAGTATAATATACAAGGGGCATTGACCTGCGACGTCCGATATGGGTTCCCGGAATAGAGCCGCAGGATACGGAGCGGAGAAGGTGATTCTCCCGTTCTCGAAGTCATGTACGAGACAATGCCTCAGATCATGGGTTGCTTCGAATCTCGGACGACCGAATAATTATTCCGAGAAGCTCAAATTCTCCGTCTTGTCTTCAGAGACTTGATCGCCGCACCGGGCGCTGATTTGACTGTTCGCTTTACTAATCGTTAGTCCTCGAAGGTTCCCAGTTCCCAAGAGACTTTCCGATTCTCGGTCCCCAGAGCTCCAGCTCGGTCCTCGAACCTCAATGTATTCGTTGGAGTTCCGACCACGGCCGTTCTTCCATAAGCATTGAATCACGAAGTGTTTCCAATGGATTCCGGAGCGGTCGCCCATAACGACATTACGTATCAGGAGGAAGGTCCAATCGTCCGACATGAAATCCGAAACCGTTCAACCGCACGAAGGCGGCAAGCTCTGAAGCGATTTGTGTTGACGTCTGTGTTCGTTACGAGCGAAAGAATGAGATACGGCCCCACGTCAGCGATCGACGCCGACCGCGGCGAGTTCACGCTCACCTCCGGTCGGAGAGATGGAATACACTCGACGAAATGGTGACTGGACACTGGTCTACAAAATCCGAGTTCATCCTCCACCTTTGAAAAAATAAATCTGTCGTCCGGTTTCGCTCCCGTGGATCTAATTCCGGCGTTGGAGAGCCGGAGAACGTCCAGCGGGACTTTCGTCTTGCGGATCTGCGCGCGAAATGGAGTTCGAAACATCGAACCCATATTCGATGTGCCGGGACTGATGGCATAAACTTCGATTGGAGAGGTGAGATCAAGAGGCTCGTGTCGCAAACGGGAACTTGACCGGGAACGGGCTCGAGACGAGATCCACGGCCGTATGTGCTCCGAGCTTCCTCCTCGTTCGGACATGGGGTGATACAGACTTGTTCTGCATGGAGTTCACGTATCATAAAGACGCTTACGTAATGCTGAATGCCGGTCCCGCTCCGTGACCGAATGCAGAAATTGGCGTCCGAGAGCGCTTGTCCCGCCCCGATCTCTTCGGAAGTTCAGTGAATCAGCGGTCAGCATGCTTGAGGGGCAGTCGCGAACCTTTTGTTCGCACTGATCGTCCAGGGTTCAACTTGCTCCCACGCGCTTATGCAAGATAGCTCGCGACGATGGGCTTATCGGTGGTGGATCGACCTTTCCTTCGAAATGACCTTCACCCCTGACGAAACAGCTTATGCACTTACAGTAATCCAGGCGAGTTTGCGTCGAGTCGCCTAGTCGAAGCAGAGAGTGCGAATCAGTACCGGAGATTGGAAGAGAGATCCATGGGATCGGCTCTCATATACCAGAAAGAACAAAGCGAAGAGTTCCTCAAAACAGAGCAAGATACGTCTCTTCTTCGTCGTCTTGGAAACACTTCCTGTGAGAAGTGTCGATCCCAGAGCAGCCATCGGCATCAGACTCCCGCTCCTCGGTCAAATGCGATGCTTCAGATCTATATACTATTACCTAAACTGGAAGATGACGTCGCCCTGTTTTCGGCTCGCGAGAATCGCTTGCTGATAGATCTTCAAGCTGTTCGCCCGGCCTGTCCATCCGTCAGTCTGTTTCACGATACTAGCGATAAAAAATTCCGTATGAGGAACTGTATCCATGGCAACTACAAACTCCATGCGACGATACGCATTCTCTATTGTGAGTTCTCGCGGATGTTCATCTATGCTAAGTTCAGCCCATGGAACGAGCGTGTAAACGACCCAGAGTCCCTCCGCACTCAGAGTGATCGAAATAGTTGAAAGCAGGAGTCCGACAGTAGAAGAATATAAAGCGTCGCTAAACAGAGTTGGATGGATTCGCGCATCGAAACTCTAAGCTTTGATCGAGCAGGATAATTTCATGATTTGGAGCCAGTGAAATTTCCTAATAAATCATAGAGATGTCATGTGAGGGATAAGTTGATGATAATATAATGTGCGCCATGCTCTCCGCCGTTCAGCGAAATTTTGGTCAGAAGGAAGGCAGGAGGAAAGGGGTGCAACAATTAGGGGAAGTTCATCGGTCTTCGGAACTGAAAGCGAACGCATCACCGTCCTCGTCAACGTTCCTCCTCGCCCCCCCCCCACCTCCTCTGACTAGACGGAACCCCTCGCCCGCCGAGATGTCCCGTTACCCGGGACCCGGCACTGTCACGAACCATTCTCACGAGTTCAGCGGCCTGCATGAACACACCATCATCATCATGAGAAGCAGCAACAGACCTAGAGGCAGCCGCACAACCCGAGAGCCTCTGTGTAGTTGTGGGGGACCCTTTCCGTCCAGGAACCTTCTTTCAGCTGTTTCGGGCCAGCAGCTGATGCTCCGCCTCTGGGTCGGACAGCGCCGCCTGTGGGCTGCCGAACGAAACAATTTTCGTCCAATTTTCTTCACTGCTGGCTCGAAATCCCTGCTCAATACCCTCTCGGAGCTCGTCGTGGCGCCAGCACACCGGGCCCGGGCTCGGACTCTCGAACTCCAAGTGTTCAGAATTAAGTTCTCTTGTGTTAGGGTGTATTCGTATCGGAGAGATCAGTGGTAAAGATCACTTTTCTGACCCAGATACCGACGTAGATCTCGATCCCCGGCAGGCAAAATGGCGCCGTACTCGGTGACAGCCGTAGAACCAGAGGGCCGGAAAGGCTGAGGTGCGGGACGTGAAAAAATTGTCGGATCGGTGCGAAACTCGCACCAAGTGATCAGCAGGTGTTCGTGGTGCAGTGCGACCGTCGGCTGGCCTTGCTGATTGTTGCGGCGAACGAAAAACGTCAAGGGCCCGTCCGGTAGCGCGCGCGCGGAGACGTTGACGGATACCGCTGACTGGGTTCAATGGACTAGGGTGACCCGATGTGAATGACCTGCGCGCTAGTACTTCCGCGTTGCAGCAGCAGCAGCATCTGTGAACGACGAGCGCTGTTGTGCTCGCATCGACTCCAAACAGTGTGCCCGCTACGTTCACAAACGGGAATCGGATCGTCTAAGAATTCGTGTAGCAACAAAACAACAGCACCAGCAGCAGTGTTTCTTCTGTGTGTTGAAATCCGACTGACCACGACCGACTAAGTGACCGACCGACCGTCCGACCGACCGACCGACGGACCAAAGAACAGACGGACGGACTGACTGACGGGCGGATTCACGGACGGACCGATCCTCTAACCGGCGACCGCTCCGACATCGGCTCGATGTAATTCCGACACATTGGAATCCTCCGTCGAAGTGAAAAGAGAGACCGTCGTTTTGTGGAGAACGACAGAATTCCCGAACCTGCGAAAATTAGTGCGCGCGGAGTGACAGATAATGGGTAGCCCGGAGAGCTGGATGTCTACCCAGAATGTGTTCGCCAAAATGGAGCTCTCCGCCCAGTCTCCGCCGGGTGCGGGGGTTCAGGCGCAGACAAGTGCGGGCCTCATCGAAGTTAGTTCCAGCGACGGGATGACGCTCCTCCAACAGGCCCCGTCGAACCAGCCCAACTGGAAACTGGAGCCGAACAAGGCGCTCAAATCGCAGATTGAGATTATTCCCTGCAAAGTGTGCGGAGACAAAAGTTCCGGCGTTCATTACGGTGTGATCACTTGTGAGGGCTGCAAAGGCTTCTTCCGACGGTCGCAGAGCTCTGTGGTTAACTATCAGTGTCCTCGACAGAAAAATTGTGTGGTCGATCGTGTTAACAGAAATAGGTGCCAATACTGCAGGCTACAGAAATGCTTGGCTCTTGGGATGAGTAGGGACGCCGTTAAGTTCGGTAGAATGAGCAAAAAACAACGAGAGAAGGTTGAAGACGAGGTTCGTTTCCACCGAGCGCAATTGAGCCGCCCTGCCAGCACCCAGAGCGACGCAACGCCCGACTCAAGTGTGATCATATTCGAGCCACAAGGAGCTTCCGCACAGTTCACCTCAGCCGGCCAGACCAATCAGCCTCCCTCGACCACGAATCAACAGCTCGGGGGACAGCCGCAGCAGCAGCAGCAGCCACATGGGGGCCAGCAGCCGGTCAGTAATTCTGGTTACCAGTTCCCCGAGGAGATCAGCACCCATTTCTACAGCGTCAACGACTACGAAGTCTCCAATAACCTCTGTTCGAGCAGTTTCGACGTATCGGACTTTTCCAACCCGCGCTCTGTCGAGCCAACGACGTCGTTATCCTCGAAAGACGTCGACGTGTGCCAGTCGTCAGGTGCGCTAACGCCTTCACCCACCCCGGTATCGTCGGTGCCCTCACCGGGGGGACAACAGCCCCAGGCACCCCACCTCGACCTGTTATCGAAGACGATATCCGACGCTCATTCGCGTACGTGTCTATTGACCTCCGATGAGATCACGTTGAAAATTCACGCGCTGCGCACAAACTCGATCAGCTCGGCTAAAATCGAAATTCTCAAATCGATGAGCCAAGACCAACTGTGGCTCGACTGTTCGCACAAGCTCACTTCATTAATTCAGCAAATCATCGAATTCGCGAAAATGATCCCCGGCTTCATGAAGCTGTCGCAGGACGACCAGATCGTGCTGCTCAAAGCCGCCTGCTTCGAGCTGTGCTTACTGCGCATGACACGTTACTACGACGTCGATTCGGATTGCGTGCTCTACGGCGACACGTTGTTGCCGGCCGACGTTTTCTACACGCAAGACACGCTCGAACTGAAGCTCGTCAGCGGGATCTTCGAGCTTGTGAGGTCATTGGCCCGACTCAAACTGGACGAGACGCAACTGGCTCTGTACTCGGCGTTCGTGCTAATCTCGCCCGAGCGGCCCGGACTAAAGGGAACCGGTGAAATCGAACGGGTTTCCTCGGCTCTACTGAAATGTCTTCATTTCGAAACATCGCGAGAACAGGCGAACAACATCAAGTGCGACACGGGCCTCGTCGATCATTTACTTCTACAGTTACCGAAGCTCCGCGATCTATCCCGGTATCATCTTGAGGCGTTGTCGAACCTCAAGTTGCGAAATCCTCATCTTCAGATGCCTCCGCTCCATAAGGAACTATTCTCAACCGACCCGTAGTGGACTGGGAAGTTTGAAATTTCGGAGACGATGGCGACGACTAGGGAAATATAGCGGCGAGGAATACACCCACAGGAGTCTCTTTTGTACTTAAACCGCTTGGATAAGACGCTCTCGCTTGCTGTGGATTTTCTCAAGCTCGACGACGCAGTAGCAGCGAAGCCAAAGTCCGCACTAGTCTCCCGCTGACTCATCCCAACAGAATAATGTAAAACGTACCTCCTCAGTGACTCGTAGAGCCTTCGGAAACTATCTCTGTGTTGCCTTCGGAACGATGTCTGGCCTGACGATTTGTCTTGCCGGTGTGGGTGTGCGCGCCTTTGTGAGTGAATGAGTGAGTGTGAATTTGACAGTTTTCCTGCGCACCGGCTCCAGCCTCCACAAACTCTTCCCAACACGGAGTTTTGGCCCGTAATCGTCTTCCAAGCTCAACAAAACCGGCCGAGTTTTTCCGAGGAAAAGCTCACGCCCGGCCTCCTGTGCTAGAGATCGACACCGTACAGTGTTGAGGGAGCCTACCCACAGAATCACGCCGATTCGAACAGCGCGCTCCGAAAATAATAAGATCATCATTGGAAAACTCCTCGAAAAACCTCCAATGGAGCAGGCAAGAGGGGAGAAACAGAAATTACGGCATCTTCTTGGAGGAACAGCAACCCATCGCAACTCCTCCGACTCCCTCCGACTTTGCTCTTCGACACACGAATCGCTTGGAGCCAAGTCCAGGTGATGCCTCGGACTCGCATCAAACCAAAGAAACCTTAAGCTCCCGAAATCCATCGAACGGATAATCTCCGCGCGTTTTCCCCCGAGCCGGAATTCGCCAACATCTCGTTCATCTGGTTCGTTGCCGAGGCGACCGCCTGTTCCCGTCCGCTTGTATCAGCGAAAAAGAGCGAAGATCCCCTCCGTGATCGCAATCGAAACGATGTAACTAGTTGAATGTCTGTCTGACTACACAAACCTGCATCGGTTTATGCGAAAAAAAAACGCTCCAGGACCGTCAGTCGATCAGCCGCGCCGTACTAGGAGGCCGGCTAGTCTGCGCGCCTGCTTCTAGTCGCGAATCCAGACAATCCTTTGCGGTCGCCGAAGTCCCCGCCGGCATCGACCCTGGTCGAAGTCATTCATCTGGCTACATTGTGCAAGCTCAACGCGCCGCGGTTGCCTTCGTCTATGCTGTTGCTGCCGCCGTTGTTTCGCTCGTCTCCAGCGAGCAAAACATCGGCGGTAGCCGATGCTGCCTTCGTAGAGTGTTGTGGTGGACGTCGAACCCTCTCTTCATCGTTGTAGGGCCGCCGCCGCCGCCGGCTGCTGTTACGTGAGCCAGCTCTGACGTAACCGCCAGATAGACGGACGCACGGACAGATAGGCGAACGGACGGACATTGGCGCCGCGTTCGTTGGCGCCGTCAGGGCCTGTCCGGCTCTTTCTTTCTCGACTCCCTTCACAGGGTTGGGTCTGAGAAGGTGCATGCACTTCGATCCGCTCTTTCGTTCTCCATATCCGCGGCGGCTGGGTGGCCCACCGGCCGGCCGGCGGGCCCAACGCTGGCAGAGCGGGTGCCTTGCTGTTCGCTTTGTTTATGGTGGTGGTGGTGGTCGAAGGCAGCAGCGAACGCGGAAGAGGTCCGGCGAGGCGGAAGGGACCGGAGGGCTCGAAATCAGGGAAGCCCTTGCTCTCTGACGTGGTTTCCCTCTCCCTGAACTCCCCGCATGGAGCAGACCCCTCGGGGAGCGGTTCCCTCTTCCGGGTTCACTCACTCATCGTCTCCACGTCGCCAACGCAACCGCTGCGTGAACAGAGCCGATGAGCCAGAGGGCCCTTACAGAGAGCGATACCGACGGCAGCAGCTTCCTCCGCGCACTCTGACGACAACCATGAGATCTACGACGATGCCGCCGCCAACGACGACGACAACAACTACTAGCACCGGTAGAAGCAAAGCAACAGATAGAGGAACATGAAGATAGAAGATAGCGACTCGGGTGCTGGTGTTGCTAAACGCTCGGCCCTCTGACTGGCTACTCGATCGGCACGCGCTGTTCGTTGTAGCCATCGTCCTCCTTCTCCTCTGGTCGCTCTAAAGAGGTCAGTCGAAAGACTGGAGAGCCAGGAAAGCCTCTGCGAAGAACTACGGGAACACCGACAGACGGACCCTCGAAACGCGCGGGGAGTCGACCACTGGGCAGACGATGAACACGGAGCTGACGATGGATGTTGGGAAACGGTCTCGATCGCTGAGACCCCGGCCGACGACGCCACACTGAAGTCGACCATCGCCGACAAGTGGGCTTCTTGTTGTGAATGGGAGTTTAGCAAAACGGATTTCAATTCCGCACAATAGATACTAGATCACGTGCTCGCAGACCGAATGGGAACAGATTAGTTGAAAAACGCCATTATCATAATTATTATAGTATTTTTATTATCGTCACCTCGATGGTGGGTTCGGTGACGACAACGACGATGATGATGATCACCTTTTCTATCGCTATTGCTGCCTTTTCAACAACTATTTCAACTAGTACTACAGCTATTACTGTCGCTTCTATCGCGAAAAAAATTATATAAATATCGAGAATGATGATGATATAATCACCGCTGCTCGCGCTGCTGCAGATATTGCGCTATCGTCACGACGGTTATTGGTCGTCGTAGCGTCATCGTTACGTGAATGCCGTATTGGAGATGGTTACACCGGCGACGAGGATGACGGAAACATTGTCGTGGGAGCGCTTACTTATCGACACATGATCACGATATCATGAACGACGATAACGATCGAGATACAAGTAGGTTTTTGCTCCGGTCGAGCATTTGGGCTTGGAATAGCTTTTAACCGCCGGTTACCTCAAAGATAGACGCTGCGTTCGCTGCGGAGTTCGAGTCCATCTCTGGTAGTCTTTTCGGTCTAACAAACAACCCACATGTAGAAAAGTAGTATTCGGGACGAACTGAAACATGGTGCATCCCTTTCCGCGACCAACGGACTTTTCCCCAGAGTCATTTAGAAGTTTGCGCTTTCCCGTCAGACTCGAAGAATCAGACGTATTGAATGGCGGTCGACAACCCATGGAGAATGAATTCTGCTTCGAGCAACAGGCTCGATTGGAAGTTTCGATTCGCTGCTGTTTGAGCCTCGTCTCTCCGTGAGTGATCGGTTATTGGACTGTTTTCGACTTTTGTGAAGTTCAAGTTTGCTGGAACTTTTAGCGCTTCGGGACGAAATTCGCGGTGACAGCATCGGTGTGTGCCTCGTGGAGGCGGCGGGTCTCGGACGTTTTCAATCAGATTGCGATAAGTCTGAGCTTTGCGAGAGAAACCGTAGGAATGCGCGATCTACCACGGTCGCCTATCACGGAATCGTATTAGGGAGACGGTGTTGACGGTCTCGGCCATCGCGATCGACCCCTCGCGGATAAATTAATTCAGGGACGATGATTGATCTGACGAAACACTACTCGACATCCCGGTGAGCTTTCTAGACGTTATCTGACCCCCAGTACAACTCAACAGAGGAGACAACGTCGTCGGAGAACATTCTGCACAACTCTCACTCCCTGGGTGTTCTGATGCATCTTGTGGAACAACGACTTCTTCTGTGGAATGCCATTGAGTAGCAGGAAAGGCTGTCGGGGTTAAAGCGACCAGGGGAAGATTCATATATACATAAGCATATACATACAGAAAATATCTTCATATTTATATTTACATATACATACATATACATTTGGAAATCTCTCATGGACGTGATTTAGGAATCAGAACGAGAATTTGGCGATCGGATCGCTGGCCGTTCGACAGTCAGATGAAGCGTAGGGTCGAAGTTTAGAAATTTTCCGAAGTCATTCATCCATGCGCAGCGGGACTGAAGAGATGCAGAGACTGAACCTCGAACTCGACTCCGACGGTGATCAGCGAACGTCAGACGGAAAACCTCGAATTTCATTGAGAACACATACATCCATTCACTCACTCACTCGTACACGGGAGAACATATGAATCATATGAGTCGGTCATTATAATCGGTGAGTCATTGGATTTTAGGAGCTTATGCTCGAAGTGAGTTCTTCTATTATTTCACATCATCATAGGGAGCTGAACGATAGATGATCCTTTGTGCCTGGATGGACGAACTGTCCAAATGGAGGAGTGTAATTCGTGTACTGGTGGAATTCCTTCGAAGGTGAGAACACTCGAGCGGACAACGAGTCTTCACAGAGCGCCACGACGCCGTCGGGAGTGAGAGTTCCGACTTATTTTCTCGTTATCGGTTCAAAAGAAGGTATACTAATGATAATGATGATATTGAAAATGATTATTAGTCGTGTGATCGGTGAGTTTGAACTCGCCCGTTGGCCCGTCCGAGGAGAAGAAACCAGTTGATCGCGTAGTTTGGATATACCAAAATGTAAGGCTCGTTGATCACCTGATGATATATCTCTCGACGTTGATATCGATGGAAGCTGTCCTTCGTCCTCTACCCAGATCCGGATTGACCACAGGTCTCTGTAATGAAAGAGTGACACACCAGCGGACTGGTTGAGTTCTTCGAGAAACGTCTACTCTCCCATCTACTTACCTTTTCGGAAACGCTCGAATTCCTTCGAGTGCGTATCGGATTCCGACTCAGGCCGGTTGATGTTAAACTAGACACAAGTTATGACAATTTGACTGTTACGAGCGATTCTCTCATTGATCCAATGATCGATCGAATTACTCATCGGAAGAACTCCCAAGTGATCTGTTGATCGAGAGATCGACCGAGAGTCCGACTCTCACCGTTCGAGACACGGTCAGAAGCGAACTGTATTCGCTGCTCGAGTGTCAAGCTCTGGGTATCGCGGGTTTCTCCGTTTTCGGCTTGTTGTGCCTCCTTACCCGAAGAGAAATCGGTAGAACCTCCTTTCGGAACTGGATGGAGCGTCTAGTTTCGGGATCGTGGAAGCGTTGAAATCTGTTAGCGAATTATCTCCTCTCGACGAACCTACATCCCCTCGACCAGTGGAGACGAAGAGGGTTTGAGACTGGCCATGAGATGACAGCTACGGTGCGAAGCTGAGAAGTCTAGGGAGCGACGCGGCGAACTTCATGTCCTTAAGTGTTTACTGTACAAAGCGCTTTCGTATCCGCCTCCTATCTCTAGCTCTGACCTCTCGAGTGTACATAATTATAAATATTAATATAGACAAAATCGACTGTAGGGAGGAAGGGCTTTATGGTCAGGTGGAAGAGACTCACGTTCCTCGCGGTGTCGTCGACATTCGGTCCGTCCCCGGAGAGCCATGACAAAGGCGTTGACGGCAACTAAAGTAAATGAAATAGCTTATTTAAACGATGGACACGATGAAGGCGATGACGATTATTCGAAGCAACCGAGAGAGGAAGACACAGACGAAGACCATAATTTATTCAACCTTTTTTCGAAATTTATGTATTTACAAATTTATATTCTTAAATTGAGGAAGTTGTAATAAAAGTCATCTGAACAACAGAAAGCGATTAGGTCTCTTAACTTGCGGGTCTCGTGGGAGAAATCACGGTGATAGATATCATGGTGTTTTTGATTCGTAGCTGAGGGCTGGAGGTCCGGGACGAATTCACGCTCAGAACCCCAACACAAATTCTGTATCGATGGAGACGATATGTTTTCCATGGAAAAGGAAAATTAAGTGGAATGGATGGGGTCATTTTCAGCTCATAGGTTTCCTCCGGAAAAAGTTCATCTGAAGTGAGTTCGATTCAATCCGAAGAATTCTCGCGCTCCAGAGGGCTGCCTGACTGATTGTGAGCTGGAGAATGCCGATGCCAAGAGTCAATTGCGGTCGGCGAACAGATTGATGAAATAGCAGGAAGAGAGACTGACGGTCCGACTGTTTGATGGACGCAGCGAGACAGATGAGCAGACAGCGTCGGACCGAACACTCACGGATCGAACACCTCGAACTTTTATGACCGGTTGTCAGAGTTGATATTTATTCGAGCGCCGAACTCCCCCAATCTCATTCGACTTGACCCATGAGATCTTCTCTCCTCCCGGCGCGCATGGCGTATCTAGAGCATGAGCGAGATCATGACTCGGACGGATGATACAATGAGTCGCTATCGCGGGGGATACAAACCCCTTTCGCACATCGAATTATTTGCACCGCAAAATGGAAGTTCGGGTGCCGATGCAGACTCCTCATCAGAAATGGGGCCTATGAAGGAACATACGGAGTCTCGAAATTCGTTTTCTATTCCCGAGGCTCCTATGCCGTTCCGGAGGTACCAGTGCTCAAGATTATCCCCTCCTTGTGTCCAGGCGCAAACGGTCAATCTTGATAGCCTGGATGAGCTTATGATCGAGATCACGGTTTCGAGAACACAAATAATTGATAGATCATTGGGCCTGCGCCCCGATATAGCTCCCGGAACGGCCGAAACGCTGGAACTTGGAGCTTCCATTATGAGCGCATGGACTCGGCGCCCGAATTCAATGCAATAAATTCTTCTCCGAACTAATGCCGGGAGGGGTCGCCAGAGGATTCCGAGGACTTTGGGGAAGTCTTAAACTAATGCGGGGAAGGATCAGATGTCGTTTCGTGCTATAAGAGCTCCCACCCATTAACTGAAAGCCTCCAAGGATACGGTGCCAAGCTCGATACATCGGGGACGAAGTTATTCCGATTTGGCTGCGTATTGATTCGGAGACGGATATACGTGAGACAGAATCATATCATGGGAACCCGCGATAATTATTATTGGGTCGCGATCAACGGAAAACGGGTGTACAAATCCAGAATCTGAGTAAACGCGATATTCGAGGCCTCGATGAACGAGGGATGCCAGTAGTCTAATTTCCATCAAGAGCTAGGTCGGAAGCCCTCGAGTATCTCGAGCCATTGTCCTCCGGGACTCTTCGGAAAATCGAGCTTCCCATCATCCGCTTTCCGGACGCTTCTCACAGCAAGGAGGGAGCAGGAATGAGGTAGCAAGCCCCCGGAAGAGACTATCCTTGTGACGAATAACCCAGGCTTCTGGCGAAAGCCGAGTCCGACGCGGCTCGAAAATTGGACTGATCGAAACTCAGGGAATCTCCCAGCTCCGGTTCGCTTGTCTCTTGGGCTGGTCTTTTTTTGCTACTTCATGAGTTACGATACACACAGTCCCAATTTATTGATGAACTCTTATTCCCCTCGGTCTGGTCTAGACCCTTCCAATGGCTTCCGATCCTGTGACAGTGATAACTCGGATATCACGGGTCGCTACGAATATCGCCGAAGTTTCAACTTCCTACTCCGAAACCCGTTTTTGGTTCTTGGTCGAATCGAAGTCACCGTTATGCAATGGAGCTCGAATCGGCTCTCTCGGTCGGATAGGCTGAGAATTGGATCCAAATGGCAGAGATCGCTGAAGCCAGCTTATGAGGAGCTGCGGACCCCGGTAGTGAAGTCCCACGATGCATCGACCAATCCGGCCTCAGTCAGGCGGGCAGCCCGGCCAGTCGGCCGGCCGGCAGGCAGACTTCAACGTGAACTTCCTGGTTCAGAGGTCCTCCGAGTTCGTCAACCCGGTGAGAATGTGACCGAGCTCAGAGGAGCAGCGGCCCATCTGTCGTCGGTGTCGAATCCCTTGAACTTGAGTGGGAGAGTAGACATGCATCCGAGCTGAGGCGCACTCACTCACACACAAACATACGGTCGTCGACTACCCCGATGCGCTGCAGCAGGTGACCACTACACACATGGGATTCATGGACATTGGGCTCCGGTGCTGAGACCCCGCTCAATGTCGTGCGGCTATTCCGGGATAAATTCGATGATTTTTCCCTCAAGAACAGTTTTAGGCAAATACGATTCTCGGCTAAACTATCAGTCTGCCAGCAAGAGCAATGCAACTTCTAGATGGGATGCGCTAGCCCCATCATGTGCAACAGGTTGTGATCGAACTCCGCGGAGTTTCATGGTTTCTCGCGACAGAGTCTGACTCTGACCCAGGATCGAACGGTGATCCGTCCCTGGGTTCGAGAAGGAATGCGATGGGAATCGAATACGTCACTGATCTCTAGCATTACTAGTTCCAGATTCGACGTCTACTGAAACGGTTGAGCCGCGAATAGACTACGGTTTCCATCCGAGCGATCCACAATACGAAGTCTTCTACGGCAACCATATACTGCAGCCACCGAGCAGCCATCACCTGCAACCGCTCCCACCTCTAGACTTCATAACACAGGGAACCGGGACCCCCATCAGAGGTGGGTGGAAAATCAAGTTCGGGCTCAATCTGGGCTCGGACGGAAAAAATCCTCCGCCGGCGATTCTACCAAGTTTGCGAAGTTCAGCCTCCTCGAACTCAATGAGAAATCATGAATACGGAGTGATGGCCATCATTTGAGCTTTTTTCCGCTCATCGACTGGAAGGTCGACCTCGTCAAATCCCCTTGGGCCATCTTCTCAATGTGCGACTATTCTTTGCTAGGGTATGCCTGGATGGGAAATGAAAGCAGCCTCCAACAAACGAGCGAAACTCCTGGGACGAGCGACGTCCCTTCGCCTCTAGTCGAATGCTACGACAGCAAGCCTTTGAAGCTCGAGCAGATCGACCGAGCTTCAAGGGATGCCACCCTTTTCAGGGATGACCCCGAAATCTCAACGCTCTCCGTCGACTACGATACGAGCATTAATATCGCTTCCAGCAGTAGCGGCAGCAGTACCGACCAAAAAAAAAGGTACGGAAAACTTTCGTCTCGGTGTCCCTCCCATGCTCGGTATCTCGCTTGCTTAAGAGATGAACCACCGCGTATGGCGCCGTGATCTCGACTTCCCGTGCATGGACAACCCCAACTCGAGTGCGGCACTACAGGAAAAATTTCCGCAGGATTCCCGCCAGGAAGACAAACCCCCTTATTCGTATGTGGCTCTGATCGATATGGCGATAAAAGACAGCCCGAAGAAACGGCGGACTCTCAATGAAATCTACCGGTATGTTCGTCCTTAAGTTCTTGGAAAGAGGAGAAGTTCTCTCCGGGAAGTCGCGAGCAACAAACGGCCCGAGTCTTCCCGAGCTCTCCTTGGATGGCTTTGCGAGGAAGATGATCGATCTAAATTGGCTCCTCGTCGGGTTGCCCAATTAAATTTTCCCGCCGATTCTCATCGCCAGGTACATCATGAAAAGGTTCCCGTTTTATAAGAAGGAGCGCAAGGGTTGGCAAAACTCCATCAGACACAACTTGTCCCTCAACCCGTGTTTCATGAAAATCCCACGCGAAGGAGCGAGTGACGGGAAAGGCAACGATTGGACGTTACACCCCGCGTTCCTCGATATGTTTCCTGACGGCAATTACAAGTAAGAAGAATCTATTTTCCTTCCCCCGGAGCGCCTTCAATCGGCGTGCTTTTGCGATTTCGAAGCTGGGAAAATCATACCTAGAGATCCCTCTTCACAGTAGTTCCTTCGAATAGGAGACGACGACGGATGAAACGTCAACAAGGTCCCTTCCGCCTCATGGACTACGCCGCCCACGGGCCGGTCGGCCAGCACGGACCCCCTCCCGCGTACCCGATGTACCCACCAGAAGCATATCAAGGCTGCGTTCCTACGACTCTGTACGAATATTACAGGGAGCAGTCCGTTGTTGAGAACCAGCAGCAATTAATGGCTCCCCAGGTATGCGAGCACCTCTCTAATGACTAATGACAATGCCTTTTCTCGACGAGAATAGATTTGAGTACGCGGATGAGCTACAGGAAAAATATCTGGATGATCGGTCATATCTTTCCTTTGCTTTCAGCCTCAAGGAATGATGACCACTGTGCAGAACCCGAGCTATTTCTACAATCAAACTTACCAAGTGAAACAAGAGGCGATCCCCCCTCCCTGGTCCGACGTCAAGCAAGAATACCCGTGCCTCTGATTCGAGTCCTCCTTACTTGCCGCTTCCGAATGAAGAGACCGCATGTTCTAGCCACCGATGAAGGAAGAGCGCCTGATGGCCTATAGGGCTAGAGTCCTCTGATATAAACCACATTTTCCGAATGATTTTATCCGAACCCGCCGTTACATCTGATCAACTCGAAAGTTCGTTTATGATTATTCGTACAATTACTTATGTACACTTCTGATCGCTCCCATCTCGGAAGTCTCATTGAGCATCGCCGCACCGTCGACTTCCGCGCGAGAGGACTTGCGCCTCAGACATTATCCGCAGAAATCCTCCGGGAGCATGCTTGGGCTCTCCGGAATCGATTTCGCCAGCGACGGAAGTTCGAGCAGCGACGTCCGATGAGAGTTGGGAAAATGTACAAAGATCTCCGGCTAGCTCGAATGCTTTCAGTGCAGGCCGGTGGAATCCGCGGGGCGGTCTCATTGAGATTTATCCCGCCCGCATCTCACGTGATCGGCGTTCCGATATAGGTAGCCAGCCGATGGGCTTAGTCGGACTGGCATACAATGTTCGAACATTATAATCGAGGAATAAATTCAACTTTCAATAATTTTTATCTAGCTCACGTGCTCTCGCAGCCCGGGGAGGTCTTTCCCGTTCCGTAGAGAGCTGAAGAGAAGCTCTTCCCGTCAAAGATCGATCCCGGGTTTCCCAGACTCACAAGGCGCGAATAAGCGGTTGCGGAAAATTCCGCATCGTCGCGACATTTCCTCAAAGTCCTCGGTTATAGGGAGCTCGACGCTCGATGGACAATGCCCTCTAGTTAGTGGAAATACGGTAGATTCATCACGTCTCGTCCAAACGAAACCTCCAGCTTGATTCAGGGCAAGGCTCGCGAAGCAAGCCCGTCTTATGGATGATCTGCAAGAAGGAGGCGCATCGATGTTCAGCCATGGAATTTATTCACTAAAAGAGACAAAAATCAATTCGAATTCTAGCACAAATTTGAATACAATTTGAACATGCACCGCCTCGGCATAAAGGCTGCAGGCCGGCTTCATATAGTCCCGATGTCAACCACTGTCAAACTCCTCCGTATGAGCTCCTGCGACTAAGGGAAGGGCGAATATCCCGGGGCAACAGAGATTGCTTCCAAAGGAGAGATAAGTACTAGAACTTCAAAGATGGGACATTGTGCAGGGTGAAGAGCCCCGTGGACGCTTGCCTCTTGGAAGCAATGGTAATCTGTCTCGAAATCATTGTTTTTTCCGGTCATTTTCTCGCATGTTTGTAAAAAGATTCTTCTCTAACAGATTTTCCATTCTCATCAGACGCGGCTTGCCGCTTCTCCTCGGCACGTCAAGATTGAGCTCGTCCGCGATACATTCATACGTATCCTGATTCCATATAACATTTTGCTCCGCTACTCTCTCCTCAGTTCCGATCAGGGGGATCGACGCAGACGAGCCTAGGCGGAGGCCGGTGGTAACCTTGACTACTCGTTTTGATTCTCTCCTCGACTGACTCGACGAATCCCGCAAGAGCTAGCCCAATACACAAGATGAGAGATGGCCTCCGATTTTTGGGAATGTTTTCACACAATCGTCCCCACGTCATCATTTCCCAACCGCTCCACAGACTTGACCCTCGCTTCCCTGCAGAATTCCTTCTGAATGCATTTGAAATGGCTGCAAGTCTTGCTAGGGTCACGACGGATTCTGACTGCCCTCTAATTTGAGAGTTTCTTCATGACAGAGAGAGCTTGCGCATTGTGCGCGTACGGTACTGGCGCAGGGTCATAACTTATTATTCTGCAAACTTTACCTAAAACTGGGAAAAACTCCAAAGATCGGACTCACTAGCGCAGCCAGTTTTCTCACGGACGTTCTTTGCCAGTGACGATAAAAGTTATCGCTAAAGGATCGTTCCATGATAATTATTCACAAATAATCATTTCGATGAGAATAAAACTTACGATAATATTATCAATAATATCAGTAATAAAGGATTAGAAATCGTGTAGAACTCGACCTCGAACTCATGAGGTGAAAGCATTTGATTTTGTGCCTACTATGACATTGATCTTCTGTCCTCCCTCCTGATCTATCACTCTACCATTTTGTTAATCTTCCTGTTTTTGTTTGTTATCGAACTTTTTTTATGAATATGAAAGCTTCCCCCGTCACATCAATCGATGCTCATTGAGGTTCATTAACTCCTTCACGACTTCCCCGTCTCCGCCGATTGAGATTACGAACTTGTTCCTCTTTCCGCGCGCGGAGCACGACGTCTTCCAATGTCTCTGCCGCTTCGAACTTGCCCTGCTTACGGTAGATGGCGCCGAGATTCTTCAAGGTCGTTGCGACGGTTGCGTTGTCGACGGTGGCTTTGTATTGAGGTTCGGTGGGTGCCGCGATTCCTCCCATATCTTTGTTGAGTTCTCTTTCTTCGGCTAATTGCCATATGGGCTTGTTCTTGGGGTCAGTGGGACCGAAGCGTCGTTCGTGGGCCTTCGTCAACACCTGCAAGACGTGCACTCGGTCAGCTCTGCATCAGACACTGCATTCGGGTTCACGAGGCTCCCACATCGTATAAGTCCTCGGCCCAAAAGGTGCGATCCCCATTTGAGGGCAATCAATTTCATATTCCGTTCCGGATTTCGACTCGCGACAAGACTCACACCGAGGCGTCACCGCAAGCCACAAACTTCGAACACGGAATATCAACTCTGACCCCAGGATGGATAGGGAGATAGGGAGGGAGTCTCAAACGTGCAGTTGGTGCGAAGAAAGAATGCGCTTTCGAGGAGAACCTTCAGATTTATTGTGATTCAGAGCGAGAATCGCCATCAACATGAGATGCGAGCAAGTCCAGACGGGAATAAGCATGAAATCGAGAACACCGGAGACGTTCCTGCGTCTCGACGGTGTTTACCGTGCTATATCGCGCCATCGCATGTATCGTTTGAAACCAAAAATCGTACATTCGCCATTCTCTCCGGAGCGAATAGTAATGATCATTCATGCATGCTTGCATACGTGTATACGTATCATACAATTAAATACATATCGGGAAAAATTAATTGTCGGCGAAGCATGAGCACTTTCAATCCCAGGCAGATGCCACTCCAAGCTGGTTTTTTTTCCTATCGTCGCAGGCATTCTCTATTTCAGCTAGCGGCAGAAAAAGCTGCGCCGTTCGCCTCAAGACTGCTAACCTGTTTGTAGAGTAACTCGGCTTCCTTGTATTTCCCTTGTTTGAGGTAAGCGGACGCCAGATTATTTTTCGTCTTGGCAACATTCGGATCATCGGGTCCGAGCGCTGTCTCGTAGATTTGTAGAGCTCTCTGGTAGTACCTGAAATGCCGGGCGGACTCAGATCAGAAGCCGAAAACTGATCAAAACTCGACGGGGATCGATAGTTCCCGGAAGATAAATTAGGTGACATGAGGGCAGTCATCGTCAGACGTCTGTGAAACTCACTGTTCGACTTCATCGTACTTCGACTGGTTCTGACACAGCAGAGCTAAATTGTTCAACTGTTTCGCGACGTCGGGATGATCGCGGCCTAAAACTCTTTCCCGGATCTGGAGCGCCCGTATACAGAGTGGTTCGGCCTCACGGTATTTGCCCCGTTTACCGTAGAGCACCGCCAGATTGTTGAGCGTAGCTGCTACGGCGGGATGGTTCTCACCGAGTGTCTTTTCTCGGATTTCTAAAGCATCGTTGAGCAGATTGGCGGCATCTCGATACTTGTTCTGATCTCGGTAGACTAAAGCGAGAATGTTCAGCATTGTGGCCACGTCGGGGTGATTGCGACCCGACGTTTTTCTCAGGTCGTCCAAGGCTTGCTTGCAGAGCGGAACCGCTACTTCGTACCTGGATCGTGAGAATTAAATTCGTTCATCAAGGGTTCCCGTCTTGTCAGAACACAGGTATCATCGAGCCTAGGAGCGATACCGACCTGCCCTGTGATGCGTATTGAATGACGAGATTGTGCAGCGTCTTCAAACGCGCCGGAATTTCGTAGCCCGAGATCTGCTGCTGGGCCTGTTGCTGATCCTGAAATTCGGAGGGCTCGAGTTCACACTCAATCCCCTCGAACTCGATTACGAGACGTTTAAGACGGAGCCCACGCTCCTTGAACGGAAGCCCTACAAACCTGAGTTTCGTCTTCTTCGGGAAATCCGAGATCGATGTCGGAAACGCTTTTTGACATGCCCCCTGAAGGCGTTGATCCGCCCTCATTATTGTTAGGGCAGCCGCCGTTCGCGCCCATCGAATCCCCAGTGGTCGAGGCACTCATCATATCACCGTCCTTCGAATCGCCATCATACTTTTTCAAGGAGTTCATGAATTCCAAATGTTTCTTTTCTTCTTCTAGTTGCGCAACGACTTGCTCAGAGCTCTGCAGTTTCTGTTGGGTATTTGCGAGTTCGTCCCTTAGCCACGCGTTCTCCTGACACAACCGCCGGACCTGTGCCCTCAACTTCTGTTTCTCTGCCTCGACCTGAAAGCGGGACAGTTGATTGCGATAAGTTGTGCACCAGATTCGATGAGTCGCCAGTGGGCTCTCCCACAGACTGGAGTCGAGATCTTATTGTTACCTGCTGTATATGAGCGGCGAGTGCCATGATGACTTGCGCCTCACCGAGGCCAAGCTCCAATGATTCCAAACTCCGTCGGAGAAACGTAACCTGTGAATAGGTGAAATCATTCGAAATCAACAAAATGCAATAGAACGATCTTCACGAGCGCCTATAGACTCGGTGAAGGTCGAGGTATCGACGGATCGAGATTGAGGTCCCGCTTGAATGTGATTTCCCACAACCTCTCTCTATATGAGCAGCTCATCTCAATTCGGCTAGAAGAGGGTAAATGAGGAATCTGTTCCAGAAGCGGTAATACTAGTAAAAATTCTTGAGCCATCGGCATGTCCAGGACGGGGACCGAACCGTATTCCCTGGGCAGGAAACAGCGTGAGATCGAGACAAGAACCGCGAGCTGAAACTGAGCTGAATCGCGTCGATTCCTCCAGTATGGAGGCTGTAGCAACAGGTTCGTCGGGTCGATGCCCGTTTTGAATCACACGGTCGTGACGTTCCGTATAAGTGGCTCCAGCGGAAGTCTGACGTTGCGCTACGGCTTCTTTCAATAAGATTTTGCTACGTTCGTCGTTCCTTCCACCGACGCAGGATGAGGAATTTTTCAGGCGGTGAGCTCCATTCGAACTCACCTTCTCGTCAACAACCGAATTGTTCGCATCTTGAACGGTGGCAAGGCCGTCGAGGATGGAATTGTGTTCGTTTTTAGTTGTTCTAGACCCTGAAAGGAACGGAACCTTGAGATTCACTTGCACCACCGGCTTCTGATCCATAAAGATTTCTACGTGCTCTCCATCGCGCGGATCAGGATGCAGCGACACTCTGAGCCTACCTGGATGACGGTCTTTGTATTTGCGATGATCTCGTCCTGATTCATTGCTGTCATTTTGCCGATGTCTTCAATCCGTCGGATACGATAAGCGCGCAACGTTTCCGAAAATACCATCAACTGTCAGTCCCGAAGGTTTTCCGCCTTCCCTACGAGCAGCGAATCACAGCTTGGCGACCATACTTAGCGACCACAACAACTGGAAGAGAGATACATTCCTAGTAAGGTGTCATCTATGCAAACGAACGATTCCAGGAGACGGTAGAGACATTGATTTCCCCCGACGCATCTAGGAATACCGCGGGTGTCAGGGATTGAGTCGTGCAGAGACGCGTCGAGAGCCTCTTGACTCGGAAACCCGAGGCGCGTGTGAGCGGAGGAAAGGTACAGAAAGGAAGCACTTCGACGGATCAGGACTGGCGACGAGTGCCTTGGCAGCTTTGTCGGAGCTTCCTGTGTAACACATATGCGCGTTCCAGAAAGTTTCTAGTCAATGTTCACAGCGGGAACGGCGAAAGTTCCCGCATTCTTCGATCGTTCAGAGCTCGTTGGAGCATCGGATTGGATCGGGTATGCTCGCGCGAAAAGTATTGGGCGACGCGGGAAAAGTATTTTCCATTCGGAGGGATCTACGTATGGGTGAATGATCTGCTGCGGGAGGATGTTAGAAAAATTCACGCTCGAGATCGGTGCAGCCGAGGATGGAATTTTGTTGACATCGTGCGAAGTTTCTGCAGCGAGAGCGGTTTCATCTCGGGAAGGCGGCAGAAAACCACTTCACTTCTTCCCGCTACAGAGAAACGCTTGGTTGAATTCCGGACAGACGCTAATCTTCTTGGATAATAGAAGTGGCTGAGAAGTAAGACTCAGCTCACGGCCACATAAACGTCGTCCACGCAAAACGGCCACGGACCGAAGTGGGAGAAACGGCTAATATATTCCAATGAATCAGGTGGAACCAGCTCTTCCAATTACGAACAGCGCTATTCCGACATTGACGAACGAGCAGAGCTGAGCCAGAGGAAACTTTAATCAACTAGCCGGTAACATCTGTCTCAGTGTCGAACCCACTCGACGTCACCTTCACAGAATCGGTGCGTCGATTTCGGAAGCAAGTTTGACAGGCATGAACTCGGAAAACAATCGTTCAGCCTCTGTAGAGCGAAGAATACATGTTTGAGAGAAATCAGGTTCTCCTGTTTAGCTCACGGCTCCATTGGAAATCGTACGCCACAGGGTAGAGAAGACTTCCCAAGGGCTGTTGATGCCGAATTCACCACGTCTTACCCATAGAAAGTCTTACACCCCGGGGATGTCTGCTTCGGAAATACCATGCGATTCGCAGACAAGTGTTTGGGTACTTACCTCGAAATTTTCAGTTCCGCACGACACTACACAATCGGATGAACACGGAACTCGTAGTTGCACTCAAATGTAAAGAGACCGTCCGTCGTCCACAGGAGGGGTGCGGCCATATTGTGAGTCATTCTACGAGAGAAAAAGACGACACAACAGGCGCATGCGCTCTTGACGTTTACTTTGTTGGACAGCGGAAGAGGCGGGAAAATTCGAAAACGCAGAGGGTAGTCTTGGAGCACGGTGTTCGGTGTCTTATTCGCTTGCGGAGGAAGACAGGACGGTATCAGTACCGGTCCTTTGGGCGATAATAAAAATTACAGCGCGGAAATGCCAAACATGGGGTATGGGGAGAGGCGCTCCCTCGGTGCTCTTCCGCATCCCCAGAACGCGCTGTCCAGAATGAGGAACTCACAGTCAACCGATGAGAGAAAAGGTTGGAGACCTTCCATTATGGAGAGTACAGCAGTTTTTTGACGAGCTTAGATTCTACAGTCCAAAGGGAGGCGCGGAGCCCTCGAGATCAGTTCGAATACATGATAATCAAATCGGTCCTCTTTAAAATCGGGAATTGCTGAGAATGCGGGTAAGGTACCAAACTGTTCATATGTATGTAGTTTTGAAACCGCATCGTGTCGTCCAGGAACGTATAGATGGAGCAGTGTGGAGACGAGGAAAACCCGCTATCGGAAGCAGCCTCCGCGGTGTTTTTCTTCTGCATAGAAATCGACCCAGATGACGACATGGAGAATATTTATTATTTTCCACAAAGGAAACGTTCCTTCAACATCACGTGGAGCCCATGAATTTCCCACACTCCTTGTTCGGCGAAGCCGTTGGATTCAATGACAGTTAGTCACAGGTATCGTTCAGAAAGTTGGCGAACGCCTGCGGCGAGCGTACGCATTCCGGGTGAAAGTCAGCGCACTCTGCAGTCCAGAACTAGAGTGGCAGATCCGAAGGATTCGCAATGGATGTTGACGGGCCACCTTCACGAAAGCTCCCGCGAGGAGAGCTGATGATTCTGGTTATGTGCATTCCCCAGAATTCCGTCCGAAAAAGATTGAATCATTTCTCTTATCACAACTGACCAATAGAAAGGTTAGAGATTCTCATCCTGACAGAATATATCGACGTCGAGTCGAGATCTCCACCGCACCAGCCACAAGCGGAACTCGCAAGGCACTCATATCTGACAGCGATCCTGCCTGGTTCGCGGGAAAACTCCCGAAAGCATATATATCATATGTCACGAGCCGTTTCCTCTTCTCGGGAGGAAGAGAGCGCAACACGTTTCTAGAGTTCGACGCTTGGAACCTGATAAGTAGCTCATTCCGTCGGACCGTATGGTCTTCGCTCCATTCTCCCTCATAGAGGCTCATTGGTCGTCGCTTCATGGCCCCCCCGTCCGTCGATTGAGGTTGCGTACTTGTCTCTCTTTCCTCGCCCGAAGCACCACGTCTTCGAGGGTTTCTGCGGCCTCGAATTTGCCTTGCTTGCGATATATGGCGCCGAGGTTTTCCAAAGTCGCCGCCACGATCGCGTTGTCTACGGTCTCCTTGTAGCGGGGATCGATTGCGATTCCATCCGTATCTTTGTCGAGTTCTCTTCTTTCGGCCAACTCCCATATGGGTTTGTTCTCGGAATCGGTTGGGCCAAAGCATCGTTCATGGGCCCTCGTCAATACCTGCAAAGTGTGCAAACGGTCAGCTCTGCATGCGGTAGGCGTCTTCGAATTCTGAATGCTCGAGTATTCGACTCCCCGGGCGTGAAAGCAAGGAAAGTACGACAGGTTGGGAGAGGAATGAATGCGTCATGTCTTCCTCGACTTTTCGGCAACCTTCCCCCTTTGTTCATGGAGCTGATTATTTTCTGCTCCCTAATTCTAGTAAATGGGAAGACGACACTTCGGATCCAGATCTGCATCAGAGTGAATGCTAGCAAGAAGGACGCCACGAACCAAAATAGCCAGGTTTATTGTAGTTCTGAATCAAATTGCCATCAACAAGCGCTAGGTAAAAAACTGAGAAAAATGAGAAGCTTATCTACCACTCGGAAAAAAAATCCCGTATGCGCGACGGGGCGTCCGCTGTACAACTATGGGTTTTGTGCAGGCATCTTTGGGTAAATGGAACGACTTGTACCCCATAAATCCAAAATTAAACAGTTTCAGACTTAAGCTGATCACAGACCAAGAATCCAAAAACCGATGCTCGGGCGGAGTATCAACCTCCGAGATCGAACCCTATTCCACTCCCTCCACCCACTCAGAATTGCACTACCTATTTCACCTGACGGCAGACGAGGAGACGTTGCTCGTCCCTGAAGTGCTAACCTCTTTGTAAAGGATTTCGGCCTCTTTGTATTTTCTTTGCTTGAGGTAGGCGGACGCCAGGGAGTTTTTCGTCTTCGCCACATTCGGATCATCAGGTCCGAGCGCCTTCTCGTAGATTTGGAGAGCTCTCAGGTAATATCTGTCGAGGCGTTCATAGAATTACTCCCAATATCGTGATTTGAGATCGACCTGTGCTCTATGGAGACATCCGTCACTCGTCCGCTATACTCACTGTTCGACTTCATCGTATTTCGATTGGTTTTGACAAAGGAAAGCCAGATTGTTGTACTGCTTCGCGACGTCGGGATGATCACTGCCCAGAACTCGTTCTCGGATCTGGAGCGCTCTCTTGCAAAGAGGTTCGGCCTCACGGTATTTGCCCCGTTTACCGTAGAGAACAGCGAGGTTGTTCAGCGTCGCGGCCACGGCGGGATGATTCTCTCCGAGCGTCTTCTCTCGAATTTCTAGAGCTTCGTTCAAAAGATCAGCGGCATCCCTGAACTTGTTCTGATCCCGATAGACAAGGGCGAGGATGTTCAACATCGTGGCAACGTCCGGATGGTTCGCACCTGAGGTTTTCTTCAGATCTTCCAACGCCTGCTTGCAGAGCGGAACCGCAACTTCATACCTGGAGGAAAAAGACGAACTTCATCAGGGTCCCCAGCCGCGACGAGCTCGACCTTCGCGATACCGACCTGCCCTGAGACGCATATTGGATGACAAGATTGTGCAGCGTTTTCAAACGTGTCGGAATTTCGTTGCCCGAGATCTGCTGTTGGGATTGCTGGTGGTCCTGCAAGCCCGGTCAGGTGAGCCCTATGAAAAATCAGCGGAAATATTTGACGATGAGACAACTGGATGAGGACTTTCACGAACCTGGCTGTTGTCGTCTTCGGGGAAACCGAGATCAGCGTCTGAAACGCTCTTCGACAGGCCTTCAACAGGAGTCGATTCTCCTTCTCCCGCATTCGCGCTTCCGTCAGTCGCGCCAGTCGATTCTCGACCTTTCGAAGGACTCATCGTATCACAATCGCCCGAGTCGCTATCATACTTCTTCAGGGAATTCATGAATTCCAGATGTTTCTTCTCTTCTTCCAACTGCGCGACGACTTGCTCCGAGCTCCTGAGCTTCTGCTGAGTGTTTGCGAGTTCGTCTCTGAGCCAGGCGTTCTCCTGACACAGCCGCCGGACCTGCGTCCTCAACTTCTGTTTTTCAGCTTCGACCTGGAGACGGTATCATTCAGTCGCATCGGGACATCTCGTATTTCTGAGCTCGGAACTCGCGCCAGGAACTGGGAAACCAGTGGTCTCCTCTCTCTCCATACCTGCTGTATATGGGCGGCGAGGGCCATGATGACCTGTGCCTCACCGAGGCCGAGCTCCAAAGATTCCAGTTTCCGTCGGAGGAACGTAGCCTAAGGAAGATTTGACCAAATCGAAGTCTTATCAAAAATGGAAACTCCCCATTCCTATCTCTGATGATGAATAATCGTCGATTTACGCATCATATACCCTTGGCTGGACTCCCTCGCGTTCGCAGCCTACGGGGGGAGGGAGGTCAATCTATCCGACTTACTTTCTCATCAACAACCGAGTTGTTTGCATCCTGAACTGAGGAAAGGCCGTCGAGTATGGAGTTATGCTCATTTTTGAGCTGTTCAAGACCCTGGAGGGAAGAAGATCGATCAGCCTCGTCCGGACTCCCTCTTTCGATTCACACACCGGCTCAGCCGCTCACTCGCCACCAGATACTGTCATCATGTGGACGTAATACCGGGCTCACCTGGATGACGGTCTTCGTATTCGCAATAATCTCGTCCTGATTCATGGCAATCATGATGTCGATGCCTAAGAAAATCCAGAGGCGGTTTTCGCGCACGTTCACGTAGACAGCATTCACGAACAGATTCGTAGTTTTTCCACGTCCCGTCCAGCAATGATCACAGCTTGCTAACCATGGCACACGACTGCCCAGGTACGGCTAAAAGCGGAGACATTATTTGGTTGGGGCAATTTACAGTTTATTGCGTTTTTATCGATTGAATAAAAGATGGTCTGAAGGGCATCTCCGGGACGAATCGATTCCAACATATTGTGGTCCAACTCATACGGAAGGGGGGGAGAGGTCGTCGCCCGAGATTCGATAATCTCTTGAGCAGACTAGTATGATTTCCAGTTCAAAATCGGAGTCAGCAGGATACAGATGAACGTCAGTGACGATCGCGGACAATTTCCGCCATAACGACAAAAATCTGTTTTGAAAACAGCAGCTCTGGGATTCTCCAGAATCCGCTTCGCAGCTAGGCTCCGTCGACTTTCGGCCGAACGGCAGTCTTCACGGGAATGAAACCTCGATCGTGAGGTTAAATCAGCTGTAGCTGACGGCCATCGGGAAAACGTTCTCGCGCACGCCCCAAGGACTCAATTCGATGCTTGAGGGCCCTGACTCAGGATGGCTCAAGAGATAGAATTTTCCCGACTCCCTTTTGGCAGAAACTGTCGAAGGGGCGAAGCCACGAACGCCGGAGTTGCCCAGTCAAGCAGACCGTAACATCTGTGACTCAATCAGACGTCCGCGAAACCTTCTCGATTATCTCGACGCGCCAACGAATATAAGATCCTGTGGCAGAATATCTCAGCGCTTCTCTGAGATGTTTGCCTATCCTATAGAGTACTGCTGGAGAGCAGTCTGATCGTCGAAGGAAGTATAGGATAGCGTAAATTGGACTTCACACCTGAAGGATCCATCACGCCCTATTCCCTAAGATTTTCGCGGCGGGGAACTGTCTGCCAAAGAAATTCGAGTTCGTACCTCACTAAGGTGTCGGATGCTCAGTATAAGGTTCCCGCTCCAACACGAAAGCACGCCATACGATCAAAAGTAGATAGAGTTACACCTGTCCCACAAATGCTAAACTTCGGAAAGTTGAAAGCTCGAAGCCCAGCGGCGGCTCCTTTCCGCTGGATTGTCGGCGGCACACTCTTTGGAAGACATGCTGAGCCTCCGCCGCTGCTGGCAGTCACTGGAGGCGCGCGAATTTGAATTCATGAGCCTAGAGGAGCCCAAACGTTCGTCGGCGAGCACACTCGACTTCCCTCAGAGGTGGCTGTGGGGAAATCGTCCTAGGAACCCACTCGAACAGCCTTCGTAGGGCGCGCTCGGGTCTCACCGAGCTTCAGGGAGATCATGAAGCACTCCGTGCCGCGTTCCTGGAAACCCCCGAAAAGGATACATTCAGAGCCCCCTCTCGCCCTCATGAATCTGTCTGTCTAAAGGCGGGGAAGGACTCCAAGATTCCGAAAAGCAACACCAGCAGGACTCAACTCGCATACATCCAAGCCTACGCTCATCAGCGCGCTCGAGGAAGATTTTTTTCAATCAGAATCTGAGCTCTAGACTCTCTCGGCAGTGTGCCGGCAAGAGTCACATCTACCTGTCCCTGACGAACCGGAGCTACTGGCAAGGCGCATCTCAGTGAAGGGGCAACGTCTGAGGCCTAGCGATTCGATGCTACGTTTCATCCCGGTGGAGGTCTCGATGTCTGAGGGCGAAATCGGGAGAATGCAGAGATTCGGACGATTAGAGAAAGGGTTTGGATGCTGTATTCTCTCGCGAAGTCGGGACTTTTTTGTTCCTGATGCAAGGCCGCCAGGAAAATAAGTCCCACGTTCAACTCGTTTAACGGTTTTCCGGAGTGGAGGACATAGAGCTCCAGAAAATATTATTGGTCCGCTGCAAAGCCGAGTTCTGAGCTCACAATGAGAGAGATAACAAACGATTGTCTCGTGTTTATTAAGAAGAGGGAACAAATTCGAAAGTGGTCAAGAGCGTTTCCGTTGCCTCCCGTGAACCAAATCCGCCGCGGAGACCGCTCAGCGAGCGCAACAATGAACTCATCACCGGACTTCCGGGTTGGCGACGGAGACACCCACGGATTGATAAGACTCTCCCTTGTACCTATATTGCGAATCACGAATGTCTCTGTATATCCTCGACAGGTGAAAGAAGTCTAGGAGGCGATTCCTCAGACGCGGAGGTCGATCGCGGGTAAGGTCCTCACTTTTGCAGCAAAATATCTCGCGGAGTCGGAAGCGACGGTAAGGACTCGTTTTTTCTCTCGGAAGCGACTCGACCTGAGCACGTTGAAAAGCACCGTATCGCCGCGCGGGATTAACGCCCGCGAGCGTCGCACTACCGGGTTCCAAATGAGCTTATATATAAAAAATAAAGAATCGGAATGCAACATCGCTCAGTTGGAGCTGTTCACCAGATTCTGGTAGTACGTCGACAGAACTTTCCACGCGCTCGGAGCCATGAAGCCCTGGAACGATGATTCGAGGAGTCAATCGAGAAGTTGTGTCTGATGAGTTGGTGATCATACCGATCACTAATCAAGTACCGGAAGGACGGCTTGGATCTGGATCTTGTGTGGTGTTCTAAGTTATAATTCGATGCCTACCTGGGGCGGTTCCTGATTTGATCTCGCCAGACTACGCATCTTGGTCCCCGAGATGAATTCGAAATCTTCCTTCCGGGCAGGGTCGAAAAGACTCATTTTCTTCTCTTTCTTGTCATAAGCGGCCACCTGTTGGAATATCGAATGCTTCATGAAGTCTGTCGAATCACTTCTGAAGGCCATGGAATCCGGAAGGAAACGACCGGGACAGACAGATCAGTTTGTTTTATCATTTCGAACCTTGAACGGGATAATTTCTAAACCACGGAGCCCGGGTGCCATCGTGAGGACTTTGCTACCGTGAGTCGGTTCATACAAATCCTTCTTCGTTTCAGGGTGGGGCATTCCTGCTGGATCTCGACCTGGGAAAACTTCCGGTGTCAGAACCCAGCCGAAAATCGGGAGGAAGATCGAAATGTGAAAGATGACTCCCGAAACACCCACCAACAATGTAGAAATTCGCTCCGCAGACCATGCGAGCTTTTGCGTGCCATTGGACTTCTCGCGGTCCGGCGTAGTGCATTGGCGACGGGAAAATCGCTAGAACTGTCAGCTCTGGGTCAAGAACCCCTTCTTGGAGAACGCATTTGTGTTGTTGGATTCGAACAGCCAGAGGGACATCATCGTCTTTGGTCCAACCACCAAGCGGGTGCAGCAGGAGCACCGGACGCTTATAGCCGCGTTCTTGTAGTTTCTTCCGGGTATCCTGCCATAGAACATGAATCTCAGTTGCCGGTCTCAAACCATCAGTAGATCGCTCGATGTCCCCGCTCCGACGAGCGTAGGTCGTGAGTATATGCCGCATCGTCGACTAACCTGCATGAGCAGAGCGTGTCCGTTGTGCACTGGGTTCCTCAATTGGAACGCGAAGACCGCATCACTGCCCATTTTCGAGAACTGGGCCTTCAATTCCTGAACGACGAAAAATGGACAGATCACTGTGAGATTCTGGTCGAAAGCACTCTCGACCGCAGCGATGAAGACCGAGATCAAGGAAATTGAGAGAAGATCGAGTAACTCCGAATTCCCTATGACCTCGGGTCGGCAAGTTCCGCGCATACCTTGGGAGTTTTTCTGTATTCATCAAGGCCGTCGTGCCAGCGTATCCTTTCGAGAACCTCGAGATCACATCCACAGAGCCAATCGCCGCTCTCCATAATCATCTGGAGCGCGGATCAAGCGATGACGGGTTGAAGAACTCGCCGTGCGTAATGATGATACGGAGAAGCGAATGCCTCCAATCCAAGTCCAGACCTTACCTTTATGTACGGATGACCAGGGTGAGTGATTTCGAAAGTAGCGCCGCATCTGTTCTCTTTTCTGTGTTCGTAGAACTCGGGATTTCTCGCGATAGCCAGCGCTTTCCCCTGCGAGGGAATAACATCGGATTTGAAACGTGTGGGGCAACGAACGTCTAGTAACACTGTCTGGTCGCTTGAATGCGGTTTCGCAGCCCGTTCCCGGCCCTTACCTTGTATCTGAGCGTGAATGCCTTCTGGTCCACGAGTCGTTCCTTGTCTTCTGTAGCGAGGGGCAACACAATTGGCAGTGATTGATTCGTGAAACCCTCTGAAATTCCAGAGTATTATTGAAGAAGAACATGATAGACATTGGCATCAGAATATGCCCGCGATAGTGACTGTATGGACGACATATTCTTGGTCATGAGCGACATATAGGCGTTCATTCGTGGCCGTGCTTCACCTTTGAATAACACGTTGAATTGGAGACATTGGAGATATTCACTCTCCCGCATGAAACCCTTGAGAGGTGTGGCCCATCCTTCGCTTAGCACCTGTAGCCACTGGGTATCGAGCTTGGTGATCTGCAGGGTGAAGGTGCATTACACTCCGTATCTTCACCGCCATTCGCGGGTTCAATTAGGTTCGGGGGAAGAACATATATGTACGTAGGGGTTGAATCATTTGATCAGGTCGAAGCAGCGACTCTGGAGCTTACTTCCACAGCGGGCAGGGATTCAGCTTCATTCTTGGCGGCTTCCAACTTCTCAGGAGCGACGAAGAGCTCATCCACAGCATCGCCCACGGTCTCGGGAAGGATTTTCTGAGATACCACTTGGTATTAGTTGATTTATCGATAGGGGCTCAACTTCCCGAGCTTCCCATCAGAGACGGCATTCCACACACGAATTCGATCACTTACCCTTTCTCGGAGCAAGGTGACGACTCGGTGGACACTTTCTCTCTCGGTTTCTAGATCGGTCCTGACCTCGAGCTCTGGATTCAGAGGCGACTCATAGGGCTGATCAATACCGGTGAAACCTTTGATCTGGCCAGCGCGAGCCTGGAACGGTGTGGGGATTACAATTTGAGGTCAACAAATCGGACCCTCGAGTCCATACATTGCTCGAGGCAGTTGCCGCGAAAGGATATCTCACCTTTTTATAGAGACCTTTTACATCTCGACCTTCGCAGACGTCCAGAGGCGTGTTGACGAAGACTTCAAAGAACTTCAAGCCGTCTCGCTCGTGAATTTCTCGTGCCAGTTGCCGGTCCTGCAACAAGGAGACTGAGAATTATTCCGGTCGCCCTCAATCGGAAAACTGGATTCCGGAAGTTCAGCCGAGACCGACTCCGACCCCCAGTCAGGGTCGAGGCCGCACGAGTTGACAGCGAAAGAGAGCAGGGACATCAATATAGCTTTATTCTCTTTGGCATAGAGAATTACGGAATCACCTTTGCGAATGGCGAAATGAAGCTCGTGATACACACGACGCCGCTGTCCGCGAAGAGTTTGGCAACTTCGGCAACACGTCTGGAACCGAACGAGAAATCAGTATTTCGATAGGCGGCCATAGCTTGAAGGGGTCCCTCGGCTCCGATGTTTTCCCGCGTCCGGGAGCGAGACTTGCTCAGACTCGGTGCATCCATGAATCCTCACTCTGTGCTCGGGACGCGACTCATCGGGAATTACCTGATGTTCTCTTGACGGTCTTCTTCACTGAAGCCGAGGTTTTTGTTCAATCCGTGACGTATGTTATCTCCGTCTAGTGTATAACTCGGGATGCCCTGCTGGTTCAGGAATTCCTCGAGACCGAAGCTTAGCGTCGTCTTGCCAGCCCCAGATAGACCTGAAACGAATGTATTCCAACTGACCTGCTGTCTCAAAGTCGCGGATAACACTCTTTTATTACTGAACTCACCCGTGAACCATATCGTGCATCCTCGGAAGCCTCCCCTTTGCCCGAGGATCTTAGCACGACTGTCGCGACTGATCTTATTCTGCTGATAGGTTACATTTGTAGCCTTTTGACCCTGGAAACATGATGAGCGAATTGGTCAGATGCAGCTGATCATCAACGACATCTTGTTCGCCTGCTCGCTACCAGTCCTCGTTGAACAAAGGAATTCGTCGGAAAGGTATTCCCGCCACGCCGCCTGACATCATGCGCCGAGATTCTCGGGGTTCTCCGACTAAAGAAAAGTCCTCTAAAGGTGACCGACGAGTGTCGGGTGGAGTTTTGATTGGTGATATTCGCCGTCTACCGCATGACTAGGCTCAATAAACGAAATTACACGATGAAGAATGCAATTTCAGAAGGCGAAACCCGAGGCGTGACCCCGCGACAGATCATGGTGGAGGAGGGAGGGAGTTCCCCAATTATATCGAACGTACAAGGAACATGAGTATGAGATCTCGGCGCTCGAAGGACCGGGAGCGGCAGGGACGATGCGGCTCTCGTCCAGATCAAGGCGGCCAGCGAAATGAATACGGCGCTTCCATATAATTTATACACCTGTCATGCGTGAAAATATGGTACGCGAGCGATAGCCGTCCAGAGCCTGGTCCTTCCGGAAGATGCCAGAAACGACTCTCACCAGCGATCAGCGTAGAGCCTTAAGGGATTGAATCTCAGAATACGTCCTCTTCCCCTTGACAAATTACTCGATGCGTCAACGACCGTCTCATGACATAGTTTTCCTTCCGTTCTAATCTCGGCCGCGAGAAATAAGAATCTCTCTTGGAACGAGCCTGTTCACGGCACAGCCGCGTTTTTTTCGATCTCAAGCATCATCTTTCACGGAACTAATTTCTGTTCATCAGCACATATTCCACGTAGTGAGGAGATGGTCTAATCTGAATCCTCGCGGAGCGGTGGAGCGCCTCGGCAGTCCTAGATGCTGAACGCAGCATACGATACGCAGAGTGATTTCGGTATCCACCTAATCTGATGAGGTTGAACAGGTTCACCCAGATTGTATCGAGATGCCGCTTGTGCGAGAAATGCCTGAGAATCCTCGATGAGTCTGCTGTGCCCCGAATCGAGGGGGACAGCGCGCGCCATGTTTGGATTTGACTCCGAGCGCTCCGATGGACAGGTAGAACTATTGGATCGATGCGAGGCGGAATTAATATCGCCCCTCATAAAAGGACGCGCGTAACAGGAGTCATATCTCGATTGCTCGTATAAGTGGACGATCAAGGCTGATTCGCACGGCGTCCTGGTTGGACGTCACGGTCCATATGTTATCCGGATAATTGATGAAAATGGCGGCGCCTGCCAACATCACTGGAGCCAACATTACGCGACTCCCGCTACTTCGTGAAGACTTTTCCGGAATCTAGCCAAGTTCCGGGGGCACTCCGGAAATTCCTCGCAAATTAGAGTGGTCGAATCATAACACTTTACGAGACTGGTCCCGAATAAGCATTGAAGTAACCCAAAGAATAATTGTCCGAGCTTCCAAAATTTTTGGGAATATGCGGGGCTATCGTATCGCGAGAATGAATATTTCCAGCGGATTCAAAGCCCTCCAATGGTCACATATTCCCAGCGCATTCGAAGGGGGAAATGGATGGCTAGCTCTATACACATGGCCGGGACTTTGCTCCTTTCGCACCACTCCGGTAGCGAAGTCGCCGCGCTGTCGCGACTGACAGCTACTCTCGATCGCCATCATTTCCACCGGGTGGTATCCAGTGTCCATCGAGGTCCGCTCGAACGTTCGAATCGGAGCACTATCGCCCCTCCGGGAATTTATGGCAGAAAGAGAGTTGCCTCACTCTGCCGGTAAGATAAATCTTCAACTAGAACTCACCGGTTCTGGTTTCGGTATTCTGGAAGCCATCCAGCCAATCTGAAGATCCGATCAAGCACGCTCTCAGCTCACCGACGGCATACGGATGCCTCATGCAAAAAGTTTCGTGTGTTCCACTGTGGCTACGAGCATCAGCTGATTAAGAGGGTGAGAGTTGTTCATCAAAAAGGCGAGAGAGCTCTTTTGGGAGAGGCTAACGGAACACGAGGTCGCTGCCCGCCGCGACCATCCAAGGCTGGACTTCCGGCAGCATGTAAGCAGCAAAGGGCGCAGCACCCGCACTCTGGAAGTGGAAGGAAGATCCTCCGACTGGATCAGACCTTGAGCACCCAGCTAGTGCGGAATTTGACGAGGCTGTGATTCGGTCAATCGTCCGCGGAAGATAGTACTGGATCTCGCGATCTGACCGCCGGCGCGCACCAACTCTCCTCTTTAGACTAAGTGAGACACGTCGATGAGCGGAGCCTCGCTCATTCGATCGGTTTCATCTAGGGCGACATCCGAGAGGGTTGATAGACGAGCTCCACGTCACCTCATCTTTCGGATGGCGTCTTTCTCCGCCTCATTCAGGGGTTTGTCACTGACCATATCTCCTATTCAGAGTCGAGGAAGAAAAAATCTAAATCCGGAAAAATATCGGAGCCAGATAACACTCTATCCTCGAACGACTCAAGTCAGATGAACATCCAAGCCCGCCAGACCGACTTTAGTCCAATGTCAACCGCGAGGACAAAACCAACCTGCACGTGGATCGACCCGGGGAAAATCCTACGGATAGGCGACCGAAGAAAAACCTGACGCTCCGGAAGCGCTCACCCTTAGATTAGAGAACCGATATCGGGGTTCGTGTGTCGGGTCCATCGTCTCCGATACTTCGACTCGTTCTTGCAAGACTTGAACGATCTAACCATCCTTAATAGCTTCGCCGCCTGGGAATCGGATGATTCTTTCTGGGGGCGCCATGATTCATGATTTTTTCTTTCGAACTCTGTCTGCCCCAGAGAGTTGCGACTTGCGACTCGGAAAGCGCGGGCTGAAGAGTCGAGCTTTCGTCATGAACATAAGGGAGGCGATCCCCCAAGATGCGAAGCAATTTGTAACATGGTTGATCTGACATCTTTCTTGCGATAGTGAAAGCTGGCCGAACTCGCCCCCAGGGAAAGAGCGGCGACCGATTGATTAAACGCACTTGGAGAGCCGAGCTCTGCTGCTCTTCCGGGGGAGATCGATTTGAAGAGGAACCCCCTCCGTGGAGACTCCACAAGTTCGGTCGACGGCCCGAGTCGTCCTCGGGTTTCGTGTCATGCCACGGCTGCGCAATCAGAACTTATAATTTTCCGAATGAAGGAAAGCAGCGATCAGATCTGCGCCGCCTCAAAGAGCACCCCTCCGTCAGTCACTGCTGAAAGCCTCACTTGGCTCGACGCGGTGCTCGATGGTACGATCTGGATTATTTGCCCGAATGGACTGCTTCGGCTACAAGTAGAGATTTTCTCCAGCGAGTCCAGAATTGAATGTAGAGATGAATCTGCATGGACGGGCAGACGGAGAGCGAGTTTCCGACTCTGATATTCGGTTCTACCTGGGTATCACGTACAGCGAGTAGGGAGTTGAGGGAGACTTCCTAGGATGGGACGGAGACAGGAAGGTGCACCGTGGCGTTTCCAGACAGATTTCTCCCTTTGTTCGCAAGCCTGGACGAATGAACTGAGAGTGGAGCGCACTTTGGAAAGAGTCCAATGCATCGAGCCAAATCGCGGGGAACTGATTCGAAAAATGATCTTCTGTTCCGCTCACAATCATCTGCTGGAAATCGAGCGATTAGACGGTCGATGGGATGCATCAATACCGTCGACCTGGATTCGGTATCCGGAAACTGAGTGCATCCGGCGGTGTACTCAAGCTATGTTCATGGACAAATATACCTACTCGAGGGCCCGAGACCCTACTGAGCTTGAGAAAAACAAACAAGACGAATGGACCGTGAGCTGAGACTCCGTGAGCTCTCTGAGAAGTTATCAATCCGCCCCTCGTTGCGAGCGTTCCGAAAAATTGGGCCCCTCGAACAGCCGCAAGCTCTATCGGAACCTGAGTGGAATCGGGTCCCGCTAAATCGATAAGAAACTGAATACGGAGGCTGGTGATTCGGCGATCATCATTATATGACTCTGTTGATAAATGTTGTTCTTAGCGACACCTCTCGATTATTGTTTCAGCTTCTGTTATCAGAATCACGAGAGTGGCGATGTCTCGCCATGTTGTAAAATCTGCGGTCAAATGAAACTCTCCGGGCGATTGTGGTAAAGAGTATTCCGCTCTTCTTGCGCTGGCGTTTCTTTCTAATCGTCAAAAAAGCGGGAGATCCGACCAGATCAAATATCGCTCGAGGGAGATTGACATGAATTTTCTGGGAAAATATACAAACCCCATCAGAATCCCGCGACTGCCTTGCGTTTTTTATATCGAGCCGAACGAGGGTCAACTAGCAGCCGCTGAGACTCTCGCAACGGTCAATCAAATTATGTGCCCCCCCTCCGAGCGAAAATCTCTTTCCCGAGACTCGCGCCTCGAGCTATGATGCATCTGCAACTACGATACGTTTTCGGACAATGGTTGGGCTCTTTGTGCCCCAACACTGGTCGAGTCGAGACCCGGCGACCTCCATCGATTGTCTTTCGCGCTGTCGATACCGATTCGCCACCCTCATGAGCTAATGACTTGAATTGAAGTGGAAGTTTCCCTCAAATTGAAGCGAAATTCGGAGGTGAAAAGAGTTCGCGCGGTCCGCTGCGGATTTCGCTACATGTTTGTCCCGGAACACGACGGTATCAGTAGAAGTTTCCAAATTTGAATCATGGGCAATCATCGGTATGTAAATATCATTGGAGCTCTCTGCTAATGCAGTGAGCCATCCGCTGGATGTGAGGATTCAACGTTCAATTTGATTTGTACTCACAGCTTGATATTGATAGTTCACTTGATTAATCATGCTTGGATAGTGGTACGCTTGACTCCGGGAATCGTGGGTAGCCTGCTCTGTGACTCGATTGCTCAGCTGGCAGCTTCGAGAAATTCGAGCACGGAACTGCACAATCGACGGAGGGAATGACAGCGATGTCACCGGTCTGACGATCGAGTAGTTAGAAGCTGCTCAACGAAGACTATAGCACTGTGCGAAACAGAGAAGAAGTTATTGGGATATTTGCCGCGCGATAGCCGCTAGTCTGACAGTTTCCCTCCCTCAGCCGCTAGCGAGCCAGAAAGCCTCCTCACCCTTGCCCTGACAGCACGTCTTGGAGTGCCGTGTGCGTTTTGACCATAATTTTAGTATTGTGGCTACACTTAAGATTCCACGATGGATGCTAATTCACCGATAGAGTGGAGGACGATTTCTCTCGAAATGTTCGCCCCACTCCCCCGGCTGTTTTGGTGCTCCCGGGAAGAGGATGTCTCTAAAAGCTTGGTCGGTTGGTATTGAGAGGGGGGCTTATCCGATTTTACCGGCGAATCAGCGGTTTTTGGGAAAATCTCGTTCGCGGGCGCGATCGTCGGCAGATCATGCTGATGGAATTCAGTTCGCATATTCCCTTATCACGCCAGCAAGACTCGGGTGGAGCTTGTCAAATGGTTTCCGATTCTCTCTAGAGGTCCGATGTCCAAGACGTGAGCTGTAACGTCCATCATTGAGGTGGAAGCGAGCCCATCCCCCGAGTCGTGCGAATACTCTGTGCTTACCGCGTTCGATAAGATTCGCGAAGTTCACTCACGCTCCCCTCGCCTGACCGGGACTCGCCCATCCAGTCTCTCGAATCAATTTCGGGCTTCCTTCGGATTTTTGGCTCATGAAACAAGACCGCAATCGCTACTGAAATAAACCTTACATTCTACCCGCTCCGGCGGCTATCAAAAGTTTTAAGCAGGTCAGATCGGCTCGACCATTTCTGAATCGCAAGGGCGGCGCAGACACAAACCACCAACAACTGATATGACCTTCGAATGCTTTCCCTGGCTCACGAGCCTACACGTTGAAGCAACGGACGGCTTACGGACAGATAAGTGAGTGATTCCCAGTCTCCGGTCTATTCGTTTAACTGGCAGACTTGGGGAAGCTCTAAAGCGGCGCCCATCCGTTTTTTCGTCCAGATCGGAAGAGCGAGAACCGATCTCCATTCGGGTTGGAGATGCGACTCGATTGCTTCTCGTAATCAACATCGAACATTCCGTCCACAAAAAACGATAGATATCATTGATTGGAGATTGAATAAATCTAGCCCGATGTTGATCAGGGAAACTTCCCGACAGGAACCTGCGGAAAAAGGGTGAGTCGCTGTCCAGGCCGCTGTAGAGGCTTCTTCCCGAAGAATTTGAGCGCTCTCGACGGAACTTCGTTCCTTGCGCGGTGACGCGGTCATCACCGCGGGACTCGCTCGCTTGACCTCGTTGTCCTGCAGCGGATCCCTGACGAGAGCAAAGACGGTCTGTGTTTTATAATATTTTGCCATCACTCCTCGAGCAGGTTGCATTCCAGCCGGCTGTATCGTAAACCGTCGCAGACTGGAGACAACTTCGTTTGCCCGACAAGCCTACAGCCCACGTCAATAGGGAAATATTGGCTGAAAGAGATCATTCCTCCATTTCAGGTCGAGAATCACAGCATCTAATCGCCGAGTCTTACTTCAAGTGATACATTTGAGATCCTCGGCGATTGATCACTTTCGGAGCGGTAAGGCACTTGGCGGAGTCGTCAGAAGATCTACTCAGAGTCATCACGAGATTCTTTGTGGGAAAAGCTGGCTAGTATCCAGGCTGGAGACGAAAATGATCTCTATCCTGATCCTACACAGGAGAGATAATGATGATAATGTCAGGCTGCTGTTAAGCTTTGGCGCGACGTCATGTGTCCATTTAGTCGGTGTCCAGACCAATTCATCTCATGGTTATCGAATGTTGTTTTTTTCTGGCGCTCTGAGTATAACTCCTGCTTCCTCCTTCATCTCTCGTATAGGATAACCCATGGAAGCCAATTTCCTGGAGAGTACAATCATTTGTATTCGACGAATCTGGGCAAGTTTTTGCTCAAATGAACCATCGAGCATCCGTCCTTGACGCATCACGGAATCGTCAGAGCGTTGGATGAAAAGAAGGACTCTGGAAGGGCGAAGTCATCGCTGAAAGCCAGCAAAAATAGTTGGCACACATTACGCTGTACCCGCTGGGGGAAGACTTCTAAGATCTATCGGATATGTGTCCCATGATGTATGTATAGTGCCGATCTTCTGGGACCGAGGGGAGTGAGAGCGACCCCGTCGTCGATCTGGAACACCGTGATTGGAAGCTTGTTTCGCATGCAGATTCGTTAGCGTGAATCCGGCATGGAGGACAGCCACCTGCCTGTACCGATCATATCCAGAAGGACTCTGGGCCCTACCATAAGGCTTTGCGCATGATCCAGGATCTCATGGAGAAGCGCGCTTATCAACCGCGCTCGATGCGATAATCGGTGGCTCGATAATCCGTAGAAACCGCAGGTTGAGAGAAAATCTCGAATAAACGCGGATGACCAATACCGCGATTATTTGCAGAGCCGACATATCACAGACGAACAGTTCGGCACTATACTGCTTGTATCGCCGGGGCCAGCCGATATTTCTTGGTGGGAGATCGACGTTCCTTTCGGACACATTACGCTATTCGTCGGGGTAAGCCGGGATCGACTTATGAGGAAGCAATACCCTGCCCCGCCGTCAGCGGGGTAATTACTCACCAGAGAAAATTATTGGGGCAATGGCAGTGCTCGACGCTCACCGGAGTTCACCTCATCGTCTCAAGGGGGGATCTTGTTGCGGTGATGGAACAGCGGGTATCTCAAAGAATCCGTCTGATTCTTCCATTTCGAAAACTCCCTCCACGGAGCTCGAGCCCAAGGATCGCAGAATGAGTTCACAGATCACCTCACGGGATGAATCTCTCCAGAGAAGGAACTGCTGAGAATTTCCACTTGCCAGGCATGAGGCTTTTCGGGACTCAAATATTTTTGTCGGCGGAAGACTGCGTTTGGAGAGCTCGTTCAAATGACTCTCACATGAAGCATCTGCTCCCGGCTCTTTCCATCGAGGGATAATCATGCGACTGGGACTAGACTCCAGGAAGCGAGTGTCACCGGCAATTCATGAAATGATGTTTCCGACGGAGAATTCAGTAATTTCGCTCTCGTGACATTCAATGAACTGGTTAACATTGACTCCCAACCCATGTAGCACCGTGACAGAGTCAGAGGCTGGAGTTATCGGAAGGGTGTTACAGAGTAAGAAACCCGGAAGCCGCGCCGCTATGGAATCTAGCGGTGATATGATCGGCGGCTTATTATCGAGAACAAAGAGATAGCTTCGAAGAACAGTATGAGTATCGATTTCGCAAGTCGGCCACGTTTTCCTGGCAAGCCCAGCCCGCGGCCGCTCAGTTGGAGCATCTTTCGCATCTCATTCCCTGTTCAGACAACTTGTGGATCATCCTTTGTCGTGGATGAATCGTGAGCGGTACCCCACCGACGAACGTCAACTCTCTGATGAGTTCCACGAGCCATCACTCGAACGCACCGTTGTAGAACCAGCCGGAGCAAAGACTTTTTAGCCTTGTCAGAGAGTACCCAGCTTCTGGGACCTCGGTACTAGGATATTTTGTGAACTCGAAGCTCTTAGAAGCCGACGATCGAACTTCTGAGTGTGTGTGATTTCGCTTAACTGATGCAGAGAGCATTCCGAAGTCGTTCGATTCTTGTCACATGTCGCTGATGTACACGTGAAACACATCGCATCTCACCTTGGATCGGAATCTCGTCGAGTTCGAAGGGAGACAAGGAACGAACGGTATAGCATCCCCATCAGAGTGCTCAGTATCCTGCCACTATGCATCCAAGTGATGCTTCGTGCGGTTTCCGTGCTGTGCCCGTGTATGCACCCACAACAATGCATATCGAAGAGCCTGAAAATCAGCGGAATAACAAGTGGTGAGTATTGTCTCGAGCCAGACTCCTTTCCTTGGTTCGGTCGTGGGCGCCCCTCCCTTCTCTCGAGAGGATTGCGGGACAGCATCAATCGTGGCGGGTGGGAAGTTGTGTGATCCGGGGTGGAAGCTGTTCAAGATCTCGAAATTTCAGGAAACGGAAATTAGTAGTCTTCCTGATCTGCGTTCTGCTGGTCGCCAGCCCATTCCTCGTCTTGTTGGTGAGGCACTTCAGAACGTGCCAGACCGAAGCTCCCAAAGGAGCCCTCGCTGATTCAAAGCGGCTGAACGGAACTGCCGAGCCCGATGTCAAGATTTGTTTTGTTCAAAGTCCAAACGGAACACTGGTACCAGGAGATTGCCCGGTGCACTTGGTGGGTGCGATAAGCGACTTGAACTCGAAGATAAATTTCCAGAAACCCGAGGCTGGAACCACGGGATCTGCCGAGGAGCAGCCTCCAGGCATGCCTGCTCCGCTCCCATAGACAGCATCTGAGCGAGTCTTCGGGTGCGCGTCGATGCATCTGACGCGGGAGAGAAGTTTTACCTTAAATCGTCTATACCATATTGTGCCATCCGAGAATAGAGGAAGTTCTATGCTCTCGCCATTTCCTGTAGAAGGGGTGAAGCAGTCTTATCTCCGTGTTGGAGCGCTCCGGTAGATCTCAACATGGTGCCCATTCTTCACCCTGGATACGCATGACCGCCGATACCTCGATCGAGCTCGTGATCGATTAGGGGGGATTTTCCCGGGAGCTCGAGGCCTTCTTGGTCCCTATACTCCAATGCGGAGGGAAGTTTCTGAATAAAGGAAGCTCTCGCCAAATGATGTCCGCGAGGATCATTCTGTCGTCATTCAAAGTCTCCTTCCAGGGAGGGAAATTATCTCATCCTATTCAAGGGTACGGCTCCTCTAGTTCGGGCATGGAAGCTTCCGGAGTCGTTCTTGCGCGGACGTTCGATGAAGAGGAGAGAATCTCTGTTTTAGACAGCTGTGGGATTTCAGGAGATTAAGTAAGCTAGTGGGTCCAAATCAGGTTTCAAATGGATTATTTCCGTGGAAATCGGGCTCGATGATGGATCGATGCTTCACGACGGCAGCATTTTCCCTTGGCTTCCGAACCAAGTTCTGGGCATGCGCGAGGGTTCGCCATCATGGGAATGCGTCGGAAAATCGTTCTGTGCTTTTCGAGCCTACAGAGGACTGCCCTGGACAAAATGAACTCGCGGAGGGTTGGAGTCTTCTGAAATTCAGATCGGATACTCTGTGCTGTTCGTTGGAACAGCGACCCCCCCTGCCCAGCTCCTCTATGACGCTCGCTCGCATGACTCCAGAGTTGTATCTTTGTCCGAATAACATCCGCTGATCATGGCTGATCTTTATCTCAGTGTTCCCCCATGGGTCCCGCCCGGAGACGGGCCTAACCCGCAAGACAATCATTGGTAAGCGGAGACTTATGTTGTACGGTGGATGATGCTAGCTACAGAATTCACAGGCCGCGAGTTTATTTCCTCTGAAGGAAGAACTCCGAATCCAACAGGTGGAATGTCTTGGCAGTGACTTTGGCGATCACAGCTCTCTATCTCGCTGGCTCGTGGTCTGTTTCCACGGTACCATCGGAAGCCCAGACATTGCAACCGTGGGCGATGGGCTTCCTCATCAGTGAATGCCTCGAGACTGATGATCTAGTCTTCAAGCCGAGCTCAGAGTGTCCAGTCTGCCCAGGGAACCACGTGTCGATGATCAATGGAGCCATACAGCAATATCTCCTTATATCGAAGCTGCCCCCCGACCGAAAACTCGCCATGGAGGCCGAAATCCACGAAGCGTTCCTCCTGATTAAGGAACTCAATCTCAAAGAAGAACTTGATGCAGAACAAGCGGATTATACGGAAATCCAGGACGTCGACCGAAATGTTCATGAGCCTGAATGAGTGAACTAGTGAGTCGGGGAAGGATACGGAAAGTTCAGAAAACTATCCTCAGAAGTGTACCTTCTGAGAGAGTGATGCCATTTTACTTACACAGCAGCCTACATTACTTATACTCATCATTAGCCACGGAAGTCCGGAGGTCACACATCTCCATCGTTCGGCGATATTCTACGAACCTCGGGAATTGTGACGGGGGACTTCATGTAAACATCGAGTGCTAAAACGCCAACGGCGCGGCTCTCTTTTCGTTGTGTGGAAGTAATCAGACCATGTCAACGACTTTATCCTTGACAGCGAGCTTTGTCCTGAAGAGAGCATCAAACTGTACGCGGAAAGTCATAGTTTCCCCAGAGTTTTACGTCTCAAGAAAGCATAGCAGATCTCGCAAAAAAACTGATTCATCATCATACTGAGGCTCCTCCGAAGTCCCAAGAGCATAGTTCACTCCAATCGTTTTCAATCTTCCAGAGTCTCGGGCGTTGGGTACCAAAAACCGACTCTGCACAAGCGTGTGCGCTCGGGAGCTCGAGAATCGGCGGGAAAGTACGCTCCGTGTGGAATGTGCGAACGCTATACGAAGCCAGACATCGCCCAAATCAAGAAACATTTGCCCAAGTTTGCGCCGGATGAGGCGATCCTTGATAACCATGTACTAGACCGGAGAATTCTTACTTAGTATCCATACTCAACGCAAGATGTTTATTTTTGTTACACGATTCCGCGACTACGGACGGCAAAGTTTCACGAGAGCGTCGAAACAGTCCTCTCCTTGGAATCTGACAGAAATCTGGGATTCTCTCAGAGAGTTGGGATTTTGGTCATTGGATTTTGCGCATTCGATCGATTTCTTCGTTCAGGCTCGGTCGTATAGTCAATCGTAAACCTGTCTCGCAGCGGCGAAGGCTGTCGGAAGGCTCAACGACCTGCGAAGCAGCCTAGCGCTCACCCTTGATCGGAAATGCTTAACGACTCGCGCGGGCCGGGGAGCCGTCACCATCGAAAAATAGCCGAACTAGATTCGGAATCGTGGGGATCATGCCTAATAATCGGCGGGAATGGGAGGAATCTTCGATATACCGTGTCGTGTCGCGAGTTTGCTCGGAGCCGCCTCATTCATCCGTCTTGTGAGAGGAGCTCTTCTAGAAGGGGACTTTTTATGAAGTTACTTTCTCTGATCAAACAGAGGAGTCGTTCGGCCACGACCCTGACTTCGCTCGGGAGTGTCATCAATCCGCTGAATCGGTCTCGTCTCAAATCCACTGGGTCGATCTTCAAGATCTCCAATTGGTTCCAGAAGAAGGTCCACAGAGTTTTTATCAATTGTTTGTTCTTGAGACCTTTCACGCCTGCAATGAACAAATTAGGTCTTCAGAGTCTTCCACGTGGAAACATTTCAGGCTTCCATTGAGCGAGGCTCGGATAATGGGATATATCGCCGGAGGGTTCGAAAATCCTGCAGTCGCCCGACTTCCTTACGCGGATTGAAGAAGCTGAAGGCTCGAAGGTAGGCGAACTCCTTGGCGGTGACGTTGAGTTGTTTCACACGATTGAGGAGGGGCAGCATCGACCTGAAGAATTCCGTCAGCAGAGGATTCTCTCCCGAATTCGTGATGAGACCCATGTGGTGGAATCCAGAGCCGAGATCGAACTCCAAGAGCGGTACGAAGTTCTTCGAACGTCGTAAAATCTCATATATGAAGTGCAGGGAAGCGTAATTGCGGGCCAACACCGTCCTATCGGAGTTGGCGACCCGGCGCAGTATCTCGATTGACCGGATGTACCGCATGAACTTCTTGAAGCTTTTCTCGAAAGCTTCACTCAACTGTTTAACCGACCTCACTATTCCCTCAGTACGTTCCTTCCGGGGATAGAACTCCTGTGGAAGAGAGTGCCTTCAGCGGACTTGATTTGGGAATATTCAGCTGCCAATGCAGCTGGTTCCATATGGGTTCACTAGGCGATTACTCACGAGTCGTATGTGCTCGGTCCGTATGAATGCTTTGCGAGCCTCTTCCTTCAGAGTGAAATTGAGGTCATCGAGGAAGATGATCGATTTTTCTTCTCCTGAGGACGATAAGAGTGTTTTCTTCTCTCCGTCTCATCGTTCCCGAGAGGAAGTGATCTAAACACATGATAATACTTTAAGTCTCAAGTCTGGGTACTCACTTCTTTTCTTGATCGCCGATTCCACGCGCTGTTTCAGACTACAGAACCGACATCTTCCGCAAGCTGTCGCGTAAACAATCAAAGTGCTCTGGAATTTGCAGGATCCCTCCGGAATAGACCGGCTCTTCACGGAAAGTACAAAAGAGCTGGCGCAGCCTCTACAACAATATACGTCATAGTGTTTGCCGCTCGCGTCTTTGCCGCAAATCTCGCAATCTAAAGAGGTTACGCCCAGAACTTCGTTCTGCCAGGGAGCGTGGGCCGCAGCCTCCCGGGGAGCGGCCAAGATCCGCGAGATGAGGCTATCGGCATCGTGGTTCTCTCCAGCTGATGGCAAACTGTCACTCGAAGGGGAGCTCGGCGAATGTCTGTGGAAGAGCTCGATGCCCGGGAGCTCAGCGTGCTCTCGTGGACGATTCGAGGCGGCGAAGCCGCATCGGTGAACCTCATTGGTCCGATATTGTGAATCAAGCGTGGCACTTTCTGAAGCCCACGTCGCAAGACCTGCTGGAAGCTCGCAGCTCTCTGCCTCTGAAGATCCGAGGGTCCCGAACGGAGGCATGTCCGGCGCGTAATTTACCGAGCAGAAAACGAGACGGACGATGGATCGGCTCAACGATCTGAGCTCAAATCCAGACTAGGGAGAGAGGGAATTTCGGAAGACAGTCGCTCTCCGATAGGAGTTCGGACTGCTTATCAATATCGGTGAGGAACGAAACAGCAAAGTTCACAAGAAGCTGCTTCGACGCGAGGTAGCCGTATCAGTAGTTCGATCAGGTGGCTCATCGCGTACCTTACTGCTGAACTCCTGGAACCTGGACCGAGGTCATTGAGATCAGAACGATTCGATATCACACACGGATTCGGTCTTCTCTTCGTTTCGCGAGTGAGTGAGTTCTTAGTCGACGAAGGATCGATTGCTCATATGTGTGAACGAGGTAGATGGGATTCCGATTCACAAGTCATACTCATTCATGTCGAAACTTGAGAGACATCCCGCCAGATACCTTCTCAGAATCAATTGTTCTGGTCGAGTATCTTGGTTTGTGTTCGGGAGCAAATCAAATGAAGACGGTCGGGCGAATCCTCTCGCGCCGGTCGAATCTAAATTGTCGAGCCCGTCGGCGAACGGGATTTCAGATTTCATATCGATTCGCCCTATCGGAAACGCCTAGGATTCGCCATTGAGTTGAATAGCTGGTATCCGTCGGGAATAGAAATGTCGGATACCTAGTGTCTACACATATTCGTTTGTACTAAGCCCTCTTACTGCTAAGACTGGTCTGAGCGTCTCAACCGAATCTGCTCTTCTAGCAAAGCTTAAGAGCCGTGGAAAACTGAGAGCAGTTCAAGTATCGTCGAGGACTTATGTCGGCATGTTGACGGTGTAATGTTTCCGAAGATTCCACTGATGCTCATCGGTGCATTCTCCGCTTGTCAATAGATATGAGCTCGATTTATTGCCCAATCATCAGAATCCCTTCGTTCGTAGAGAACATCCTCGGTACGGAGCCTGACAAACTCCAAGATTGTCTTTTTCTCTCCCGATACCTAGAACGGCTCTGTTTGCCGGAGTCGAGAATCGGACCAATGGTGTCGCTCGCTTTGGAGCCCACACAAATCCAGCTTACGGTAGCAGAAACCTGCGAGAACCTCTTCGATTTGGAGCAACTGCCTTCAAAGAATCACATCGGGAGCGGAAGCCGAGGCTTCGGCATTTCGTAACTTTCTTCACGGATCCGTGGAGGACCCTCTCAACCTCCGTCGGTTTTCCGGAAGCGCAGTCGAAGACTGAAAAGCGTTTTGAGAGGCTTCAATATGCTCCGCTCTGCTCGTTAGCCGATTTTTTGCTCGAAATCCCTCCCTCCGAGAAGTGAATCTTTTTTGCGGCTAAGCGGAAGCGCACCTACTACTAGCGGGTTGAGGGGTACCGAAGCCGAAACAGGTCTGGAAGGATACGCGACTCAACGGCACACGGCTACGATCCTTCACAGTTTTCGCAGCGAGACCGCGGGCTCAGACCGGGCAGGAGCGATCGTTCATTTTGCGACGAGATCGACTCAGCGAGCTCGGAGGATCTCTAGAAAGTTGATTTCTCAGATATCCGTCTGCTTTCAGAGAAGCGAACACGAGAGAGGGCTGAGATGATTCCGGGTCCGACCTGTCTCGAGCAGCTAATTGAGCTCCAAGTCATTGTCGCTCGCCAATCCGCTCCACATCAGCGTTCATTCCCCCACCCCGGTTCGTTCGCTTCAAAGATGCCGAAAATCTGACGAATCCATGAGAGGGCCGCGAGAGCTTGCGCCCGCTGCAGATCGATCATAAGGCGAAAGCGGCTGTTCACGATCTCGAGCACGATGAATACATTTCGCACAAGAAGCGTGCATTGCTCGGAGAGAGGGGGCCCCGATCGAGTGCTGAGGAATCATCCTCTACCGCCGAAACGTCATCAAGCTGGCTAGGTGGGCGACTGCCCGACGCTCGATGGAGATCCGCGCACAACGGGCACCTGTTGGACCCGCGGGTGATGGAATTAGTCGATCCGGACATCTCGATTATCCGAGCGGTGTTATGCTTTCAGGGATCCCATCGATTCGCTTCGCTCCAGCTGTCCCGAGTCGAAGCAGATGTCATTGCTATCATTTTACAAATAATCAGGACCACCCGAAAATATGAATATATCGAAGCTTTATTCGCGGAACACATATTCGGGATAGACACTAGGACCGACACTAGGAAATAAACGATCGTCTTCGGATTTCCAAAATGGTACCGATGTTCGATTCCGACAATCGGACCAATAACTTCATTGGCTCGAGGCGGGTGTGCGTGAACACGAAAATTTCAGCTCTCTCTCGCGAGCGGACGGGTACTGGTGAGAGCCCCGATATTTTCTTTGGGCTTGAAGCCGGGGAGCTGCTGCAACAAGAGGAGGAAGCGGAGGCCGAGACGTCGGAATTTCGGTACTTTCTCTATGAAGGTACGGAGGACTCTTGCCACGTCCTTCGGTGATCCGCCTTCCGCTCGAAAACGAAGTAGAACCCGTAGAAGAGATCTGACCTCCTCCTCGAAGGTCTCAGGCTCTAGAGTAACGTTAGTGATGAAAATCCGAAGTCTCAAGAGAGCTTCGGGTTCGTTCTCCTCGATTCGGGCGCCGAAATTTCCCGTGCTTTCCGGTCTGGCGCTCAATGGTGAAGACTCACACGGTCCGGATTCCGCTGCTGGAGACGAGGGTCTACTTTTGTCACGTAGTAGATGAGAGGAGGCTGCTTCCGCACACGGGAAATCGGAGGCTCCCAGGCAGCCTTCAAAAGTCGTGCTCTGATCCTGCTCACCGGAGTCCATGATTCGCAGCGTTGAGTTCTTAGTTCTCGAAGTTGAGTCAGCAGCGTCTGTATCCGTTTTGAGCGGAGACTCCCTGCGATCGTCTCGTGTTGCAGCTGATGAGCTCCTGTCCAAACTCGTGTCTCTTACTTGATTAAGTACCCCGCCCTTGCCGCTGGGTGAGGTGTCATGACCGGCGCCGGCGGGGTGACGGAGACCGAACCCGGAACACTTCTGGAGGGATAGGGCATTCTATGACGTACCGTGCTCACTCTTTCCGGTGCGAGGGTCTTGCCATGGTCTGGGATGGATTACTCGGGACGGAAGCAGCTCTCCGGGTTCTGGAGGCACAAAGGGGAAGGAACCGCCCGCAGACCGAGACGCGCGGACCGCCCACCGTCCGTGCGGCCGGTTATCCTGAGGGTCTTGCCTGAATCAAGAATCAGAAAACACATGCGGAACGAGACAGAGCTTCCCTGACAGAACACATCTCTCGCGCTTCAAGGCCTTTGATCAAAGCGCGACGTTCATTCTCTCCGGTAAGGTTGAAGCTCTCGCTCGGTCCTAGAAAGCGCTTGCATAGCAATCAGTCCGGGCAGCGATTCGATTCGGAGCTTATCGACCCGACTATGAGAGCTCGATGGTTTCTGAGGAAAGGAGCGAGTCTGAAGGCCCGAAACACGGTACCGAAGGGAGCTCCTGAGTGGGGATCAGCCGGTAAACTGCCGACCCCCCGAGTCGTATGCGTCGAATGAATCTTTCCCCGATTTCGGCGCGATACTGGCTCATCTCGTTAGACTGAGCGGAGCTTCTATGATTCCGGGAGCCTCGTAGTTCGTAGCTCTGAGAGACATGGATCAGAGACTTTTCAAAGAGTCCAAATCCGCATCCAAGGCGAGCTGAGACCCGAGCCTCTCGTGGCTGCTTGTGGATGGCGGACCTCGATACCCTACCCGCAGCCACCACATTCGCTCATTATATCAGGCGGTGCGATCCTCGATGATTATATTACCTACATTTCCGAATATGATATTCTTATCATTCCTTGACATGACCTACATCTTTCTCATGCAAGTGACCCGGATACTTTCATGCGAGCCAAGCCTATTCAGGGATTTTCCCGCAACCCGACATGGTCAGATCACGGAACTGTCTCTGTGGGCTGGCACGCTTCCGACCATCCATGTCCACAGTATTCAAATCGATAGTATGGTATGTGATTCATTGTGTGGTAATGGTACATAGTTTCGACGACTGAAAAGAATTATCACTCTTTGTACTCATTCACTACTCTCAACACGACAGTAAATATCACGCTCCGCTGTGAAGTCGAGCCAGTGGCTGACTCTTTTGTTAGTTCCACCACAGCCATATCATGACCGTGCAATATCATGCGTCGTACCGGGTACCATTTGATTGCTCTCTCAAGATCACCACCGCTATCTTCTTCTATGATCATGAAAATTCGCCCGAGCTCGGAACCTGCTGTGGGCATTCCAAAAATCGTGGACATACGATCCGGAGATACGCGACTCGGAATGAGGCGATTCGGGAAGTCGGTTCGGGAGCGTTCAGCCAGAGCGGCCGGAGCATCCAGGGAATCCAGGATATATGCATACACATCACAAACATGGGGATGATTATTTATGGACATCACGAAGCGCACGCCTCATTCAAGCACATTGACAGAATGCGCGGGGGGTGCAGGGCACTTCCCCGCTGCTGCGTATTTCAAGGCTCATGAGACTCATGAGCATGGTCCAATCTCTAGCCCTATTCTCTGGCGTGAGTCCGCGCGACATGTGAGGCGTTTCAGGGATTCATTTTGAATTACCTATACGAGAGATTGAAGATTTGTGAGATACGGGATGTCGGATCCCATATCGGGAGCTGCAGAAACTGGTCTCTGATTCGAATCCGAGTGCATTCACCCATCCAGATGAGACATCCCGGTCTCCGCTCGCCGGAAATCCTACGGCTGCCGGAGTAGCTTGGAGCCGCAAGTGTGATGCATGTCTCTCAGTCAGTGAGTCCGAATGCCGTTCTGGGAAGCTCAAACCGGAAAGCGCTCCCTGGCCCGGACATTGCTCGACGCTTCCTGCGACCAAAGAAGCAAATTCCTGCGAGCCGCCTACTTGACCAACTCGGAATCTCCGAAGTGAATTTCACTACGCTGCGTTAGGAGTTAGGAGAGAGTATACAGGCGAGACGCATCCTCTAAAACAGGGGTGTCAGACTCAAATTTTTGGCGGGCCACATTGGAGCGCCGCAGCTGCCCGCGGGCCACATGAAATTTTCACTTTCGTATAGAAGGAGAATATATGCCGATCGTCCATGGAAAAATGCTTTCCTACCCTCCGGGGATCGAGGGCGAACTCGTCTGCTCAGTCTTACGGGGGGTAACATCCAGCCGATCTCATTCAATTTCCAAGCCCCCATTTGAAAGGGTCGGCTTCGAGTAGTGGCGGGCCACAAAGAGAGATGTCGCAGGCCACATGTGGCCCGAGGTTCACGGATTCGACACCCCGGCCCTAGGACAATTGCCCAGCGCCTCACGGCCGAAGGAGCTTCGTATTGTGGTCCGGCTAGGCGAGACTTGATTGTCAATTTTTCTCGTTTGATCTATGCCTAGGTTTTTGATTCCGAGCTTAAATCGCTTCGAACTCCGATCACTTACCTTGACCCGTCGGAACTTCTCTTTGTCTATTCTCGGGGATTTAGAAAGGCTCCAGAAATCCAGAGATACCGGTGGGTCTCCGGAGAGGCACATGCTTCCCGGCAAGGGAACTTCGCTTGATAAGACGTGAAGTAAAGAGCAAGAGGATTAGGGTTAATGAGACTGGCAATTTATTTTGCCAAGACATTCCCGGCTAGCGGAAAGCGGATCGCACGAATATCAATTAGATATCGTTTTACAGAAATGATGCAGTTTGAAGTATTATTGGGAATTATTGTTTCGCTGTTCTCTTTCTGTCGTCGTTGTTACATCGACTCGATGAACCTAGGGACGGCGCTCTGCTTTTCTCTCTGAATGTCTTAACATGTCGAATATCATGGTATTTCCATAAGTACTATTCTACAGGCGCTTACATCTGCATTCTGGTAAATTGGATATTTTCGAAAATTGGAAAACTTCTGTCATGAGAGTTCCTCGACGACTCGGGGGGAGACGCACACGATGGGTGGAGGAAAGAAGAAAATTTATTTACATGGCTTTGGTTTGGAGGAAGAACTCTGCCGGAGCAATCATTCTCATTGATTGATTACACGCTACTCCTCGTCGACTAAATTTCCGATCGATCAATCAACGGACGCATATCCCATCGTCTTTATCGGATTAATTATGAGAATAATAATGATTATAATAATATTACAATCGATCTTTTTGAGGGGACACTTAAACGACGGAATCATAATATTCGGTTTGTGGGTTCGAGAAGAAGTGAGAGTCTGTTGTCGCAAGATGTTGATCCCGACTGAATTATTATCGACGTCACCTAATGCTCTTCGAAAAATGAAAACCTAACTTTGGAGAAAGTACGCTCCCGAGCCAGTATAAAAAAGCTGATCAATCAAACATTCAAACGATCAATCGAGCAATCCCTTAATTTTCCGCTCTCCCGAAGGATTGTCGGATACCGTCGATGCAATGACTTTCTCTGAACATTCAGATATTCAGCCAATGGATGCTTTGGTCGACGGGTGATCAATCGAGGAATATCTGTCTGATATGGATCGATTACTATTTTCCCCATTTCGTTAACATATATCGATCGATTGATCAATCGATTCTAAATCGATCATTGAATCGATTCATGATTCAATGAGGTCACCATGGATCAATCATACATTCATTGGAAAATCATCAGAACGGATAATAGTAATCCATGCATTTTTTTCTCACATCCGGTTCTACCTACGGATAATCACGAATTCTTTAACTGTCCTCCCCGCCTAGGGCCCAGACTGGGCAAAGTTCGATGTGCCGAGACCGGAGGCAGGGGTTCCAGCAGGAGTGGACAAGCACGCAGATCCATTTCCACGAGTACATGAGGTTGAAGACTCGAGCTTTGAACACCTCTTGCCGCCACGCGCTTGTGCGTCCGTAGTTGTTGCTGTCACTTTTCGTTCGAGGTGGTTGTGGTGGTGGTAAAGGTGGTGGGGTGTCGATAAAGATGCTGATAACGGTATTGGTGGTCGAGTAAAAAGAATCATCTTTACGATTACGTCGTCGTCGCCGTCATCGGTGGTATGGATCGTGTGACGTAGACTTCGAGTCCGAACGGTCGAGGCTCATTCGTCCGTTCGACTGTCGGCATCGCTTACTCGCGCTGCAAGCTGACTAGATCGTCAGGGGCGATCCATGGCTCCATCCTCTCTCTATATACTCTGTGAGCTATGATAAACTATTGAAGGAAAATGTGCATGAGGCTTCACTATCCCTCCGTCATCCGATGATCGTTGTTGTTCGATGTCGTCGGCTCGTTGACGCAAACGATTTCTCATCCAGAATCTGCGGAGGCTAGCAGGCGAATGGATTGGATCAACTGTCGGATTCCAGCGCGGACTACATCACATTTGACGGCGAATCCGGAACCTGCGTTTGTGGTTCCCGTTCTCCCCGAGGTGGACTGGCGTCTTGCTTCGAAATGGGGAACCAGATCTTCTTCGATCCTTTGACGGGAGTACCTGGACTCGATGGCAGCTCGGTCTTGTCTTCTGTGATCTGAAATGGATTTTTGTTATTATTTCACGCTGGAGAGTCCTCCCTATGCTCCAAGGAACCGAGTTGAAGAACCCGGGCAATGGCTCCGCGAATTCTCTCTCTCATCTACAGCTCATCACGGGGTCAAAGTCTCTGGAAACCCACCGGAGTGTTGTCTGAGGTGATGTGTTCATCGGCCACATCGATCTCCTCGTCATCTTCGTCTTCCATCATTTCCGAGTCGTCGAGATCCGAGCCATGCCCACTGCGATTTTGGCGGTCGACGTTCTGAGCCGCGGCCAAAGCGATTAGTTTATGCATATCCATGGGCTGTCCCGGTATGACCTTGCCGATGAAGTTCCTAATTTCATCGAAATTCGCAGCCAGTGGACCTTGGAGACTTCCTTTGAGCGGGGACTTCATTCCGATCATTGAAGGAGGGGTATGCTCGGATTCGTGCTTCTTTAGATGTCGGTCCAAATTCGTCTGTTGGCCGAAACAGCGGTCGCAAAGGGAGCACTTGAAAGGTTTCTCCTGTTGGGAAAATTGGAGGGAATCCTCTATTTAGTTTCTATGCCCCGATCGCTACGGGAAAGCGAAAAAGAGTGTCGTCGTCGCTGGATGACTCGAACAAGATGAATAAAACATTCTCGACCGTTTCCTACCTTGTTATGAATATTCCTGACGTGTCGTTGAAGGTTCGATGAGATACTGAACGATCTCTCACAATACTTGCACTTGTAGGGCTGCTCACCGGTATGGGTACGTAAGTGGCGCGTGAGGTTCGCGCTCCGGGGGAATTGCTTTCCGCAGAACTTACACGAGTACCGCTCTTTGCTAACCTTTGTATGGCCAACAGTAGCAGGACTTCGACCCCGTTGAGTAGCTTCGAGATTGTTACCAACAGCTCCTCCGCCGACACCGTTACCATTTACCCCTCCGTTCTGAGGTGTTGGGCTGGTCGAGTGACTCGCGCCTATTTGGGCCATTTGAGCGCGCACCAAATTAAGATTTTGCAAGAAGGGGAACAGACTCGACCCCAGCCGAGAATTCGACATCAGACTCGAGTCGATCTGCGGGAACAGAGACAGCGACTTATCTCCGGGGAGCCGATTGAACATGCCGAGTTGATCGTACAGCAGTGGATGCAAGGATTGGTTCGGCGAGGCCTGACTCGCGGATCCCTTGGCTGCCGAGGGCGGTGTCAGAGCTCTGGTCGTGTTGGCGGAACCTTCTGATTTGTCTACGACGGATTCGTGGTCCGCGACACTTTCACCTTCGGCGGAGCTGTGGCTCGAGCCGGGTCGGTCCGACGGAGGCGGACTGGCGGAGGAGTCTCGTTTGTGTGAAACGCGCAGGTCGAGAGGTTGATCGTCCTTGTCCAAGTTGGCTGAGCCTCGGGCGGCTTCGAAATTTTCCGCCTGACTCGACGTCATGAGAGCCATCGCCTTATCGGCTTCTGTGGGTCTTTTCTTTAGGGCTTCCAGGGTGCCCATCATGCTCGAGCCGTTGAGCAAGCTCTCTGGCCACACTGCCGCCGGCTTCGGGGAAGATTGCCTAGACAGAAGAAACTCGCGATCAGTGACGAGACTAGATTTGGATTTGATTACGTTTCAATATTTTTTTTCTGGGACGTCATTCGGAATCTGGAGAGGTCGGCACTCACCGATAGTTATCATAGATTGGTCTCCTGGGAGAACTGTGTACTGCCGAGAACTCCATGTCTTCGTCCTCGGTGATCTCCTCGTCGTCTTCGTGCTCGTCGTCAGCGTCCGAGTCTTCGCCGGAGTTTTCAGACACCGAGCGCTCGCCGGATTTCTGCTGATTTTCCTCGTGCGCCGCTGCGAGGTCCGAAGCGCTCTTGAATTCGTCTACCTGACGACTCCGTTGGGCGATCTGCTTGTTCAACTCGTTCAGAAAGTCCGAAGGTTTTCTGTCGTTTTCGTCGGTGTGTTCTCTAGCGCTGAGCTTGTACACGAGATCCTGGAGGTTCTCTTGCTTGAAGTTCGAGAAGACCGGCAGGAAATTCGCCAGATTCGGGAGAAAAGGTCCTAGCGGATTCTTCTCCAGAAACGGTAGCGAATCGTTGTTATTCAAAGCCACGTCGTTGAAAGACAGCTTGTCGGCGGAATATCCTTCAGGTGTCGACGCGGGCGTCTCGCAGAATCTGCGATGTTTAGTTAACGAGGCGGTCGTGGAGAAATTCTGGCCGCACTTCTTGCATGCGATCGGGGTCCGGCAGGTCGAGTGCATGCGTTTGTGTCGACACAAATTTGAAAACTGGGTGTACGCTTTATGGCAGACTCCGCATCTGTACGGAAGACAAAAGCGGCAATAAGTCGATGGACCGATGGATGCTGACAGGTTATTTTTCGAACCCGAATCGTCCGGCGACGCGACGAATAACTACATCGATTTAGGAATTGCCGGGAAATGCCGGCGGAATTCAGATCGAGGAAGATGTTCATCGGTAGCTATTAAATGATACGACTAGGGGGCGCAACTCACCGAAATGGTTTCACGCTTGAATGGATGTGCGTGTGCTGTTTGAGTCCGCTGGAAGTCGCGAATGTTTTTCCACACTCGGTGCAGGCGTGTGATCGGGCTCCGCTGTGCTGTGACCGAATATGTCGCTGAAGATTCGAAGGATCAGTGAAGACCTTCCGACAGCTGAAAGTAGAAAGAAAGTTCCTTTAGTTTTGACGGGGACACGTGCACTGCTCGAATCGAGGTGAGAACTCTTTTCTCCCGTTTGCCTATCTAATTAGTCAAGCGGTACGCTTCGGACGAGCCCTTCTACGCTTCGGAGAGGGATACACGAAATAAATCTCAGTTTTTCCCCCCTTATTGCGCTAAATGAGACGGGCCGACTTCGAAATTTGGGCGGTTGACGGCCTGGTGAGACTGGGGGCGAGCGAGGGTCCGAGCATCGAGAACACACAAGATTCGCCCCTCGAACTCCACATAGCATCAACTGCGTGAGCGCGAGTGCGGGGTCTACTTGAGCTCCTACCGGGGTAAAGGGTGAAGGAGTCTAAAGTTACCGTTCGCACACGAATTTAGTTCGATTATTGCAGACGGTGACGTGGAACTGTCCCGGAAGGTCTGCGAGACCCCATGCAAAGCGCGGGCTCGAGCAGATCGCGCATTTGTTGAAGTCGTCACACTGTTCGTTGCCACACGGCGGCGGGAGCCTGCAAGGGCAATTCTCTCATGAGAATCATCAGCTTGCCGGAGTTCTGACAGCTGCCCGACATGGCGGTGGCGAGCTACTCCTACGAAGCAGGAGTAGGGTGAATCCATGCACCTAAGGCTACTCTAAACACTACCTGTCGTCCATCGCCGTCCTCCGCATAAAGATAAGATCATCGAATGATCAAATCGCCAACAGCGAGCTAGTCCCGCCCGCTCGTCTGTTTGCCCACCCATCGGGTGCCCTCCGCACCCGCTGTTAAAACAAACGTGTTTGCGCTCCGAATTAACGACGACATTTTCTCTGTAGCGATGCCGACTGAATAGATGCCCGATTCTCCAGAATTTCCATTTCGGACCGACGTCCGATCGATGGCCAAACAAAAAGAAGCAGATGGACCGACTAGATTCGACCGCATCAAATTTCCGATCTGAGTTCTGCTCGGAGTTTAAGCAGGAACCACTGAGGAGAGTGGTCAATGTCTCTTCCTTCGGACTTGTGGAAGATGTTCTCGCGGAGCCTTGTCAGACCCGAGAGCATCGTAATGGGTCGATTGTCACGACTGCCGTCTGCCGTCTGGATGAGACATCGGTGGGATGCGACGCTTCCGTCACACCGGCCGTGAAAATGTGTAGCGCGTTACATTTCCGAAGACTGCGTTCCGCTCATCGATAAGAGTTTTTGTCTGCGAAAAAGTTCCGACCCCTTCCGTATAAAGCGCGGCCCCTGGAAAGCGCCATGGGGAATGCGGTGAGGGGGGGGGGGCTGAAGCGGAGGATGACGGTTCTAGATCTCACTGATGAGTATCCTCAAAGAGCCACGCAAGGCAAGCAACAACGAATTAAAATCAAGTTTTGCGAAATGTTTGACAGAGTTGACTCGAGCGAGTTCCGCTAGCTTGGCGCCGCCGTCACTCAGCGAAAGTGTTTTGCAATGCGCTTCGTCGGAGTGCCGAAATCCGAGCGAATCCAATCGTGTCTAACACGCTATTGAGACGGACGGGTGTTTTTTTCGTCTTCCATCGAAGGGTGTCCTGAAATGTTTTGGCTCCTTGTTCCATTTCTTTTCTTCTTGATAGGCACCTTGACGATTTCGTCACCGATGGATATATAGATAGATAGATGGATGGATGGACAAAAACACACAACCAGGGCGGACGCATCGTTGGGTCCGTTGGACAGTCGTCGTCGGCATCCACAGCGCGGAAAACGACGGTGATGATTTCTACACCAATTGAAGAGTGTTCTGATTGATTCTATTGTGGCAGCGTCGCAAATGCCAACAAAACGGGCTGCTCCGGAAGACAGAGCCCTGCTCTTCGTGGTCGTCGCCACCGCAGCCACTGCCACTCTATTAAAAGACCTTGTTGCAGATGGTGAGCGGCGAAAAAATGCGGAATGGAAGACGTTCGGCCAGCGATAGCGGGAGCCGCGCGATAGTCTTCGATGACGCTGTGACGCAAGCGCTTCGCTCCGGCTCGGATTCGCGGCCGACCGGCTGGCCGGCCACTGTCCGTTGTTGGTCCAATAACATCGTCAACAAACGGGGCATCTTCTTGATGTCGATTTCAACAACGTCGTCTATCTGAGTGAGCAGCCGGCGGGCCAGCCGCGCCTTCGCCTCGCCGGATGTTGCGTTGTCCGCGCGTTCGTGTGTAAGTATGTGGATGGATTAAAGCAAATCGTCGACTACATACTCGCGTCTCCATCAGGGATTCACGCAAGCGAAGCACACGAAGGGGAACAGTTATTCAAGTTTTCGAAAGAAGTAGACGAAGATTTCATCGTTTTCATCATCGAGTGCTAAACGGCTCGAGATTCTGCTCAGAAGGTCGAGCACGTCGAGGAGCATTCGGTTTGGTTTTGTACAATATAGTGATCCCAAACGATGATGACGACGAATAGGCTCGGCGTCACTCGTCACAATTCCGAGCTGATCGTACAGTTTAGGATTTCTGGGAACGTTGCGTCGGGAAGCGATTTCCACGGAATATAGACGCGAAAATCGACCCATCGCTCTTGGAATCAGCACTTGCGATGCAATAATCGAGTCAGAAGCCGCTGATTGATTCGTTCACCACGGAGTCAATTCCTACGATCGAGCGCATTCTGCCAATCATTTTCTCAGCATCGACTCGCGCTCTTCGGCATTTTCTCGCCGGCCATTCAGCACACTGCACTTGGAAAGGCCGCGCGGAGACGAAATCATCAACGAGGGCTTTATCAGCAGAAGCTTTCGTTTTCATTAGGCGTCGACAAGTCTGATCGTGATGGTTTCGGATTTCATCCATTGCTGGGTAATTGATAGAAAGCTCGACCGTTGTTCCTCCGGCTGCCTTTTCCGTTGCTTCTCTGAATGGAATTTCGTTGCTCTGCCGCCACAGCAGCAGCGGCAACGGCAGCGAAAGTTCGACAAGGCAAAAATAGCCATCGCACTTGATGATGGACCCAATCGTAGCCGATGGGAAGGAGGCTGCAAATCAATGGAACTCCGTTCATCTGATACGAAGTCGCTTGTGATACGCGTCCGACGGATCAGCGGACGGTCCGACGGATGCACGGACCGACCGATTGATCGAAGCTCGAAAGGTTGGACGACGTCCTTGCCCTGTTCTTGCTTGCCTGCCATTGTCTCGTGGAACGCTGCCTGCCACACCCCACGAAAGCTTCTTTGTTGAAATTGTCTTTTTTTTGCGCCAGCTGGCCAGTTGGCTATCTGAGTGGTCGGCTGAATTGCTCGTCGAATTAGATATCAGAGCTCGCTTTCGAACGGTCGTTCCACGTGCGGCAAACGTCGCAAGTGTTGCAACTTTTGAGGATTCCCCTCATTAAGTCAATCTTGAGGTGCTGCTCTCCTCCATTCCAAGTGCTGTTCCAAGTACCTCTGCGAAGAAGTCCGATGAGGGGTCCAAGTAACGGAGGAGCTCATCGAAAACAAGTCGTGTAATTTATATCGAGTGTTGCGTACAAACTAATGCATAACACGTCTATCGGACAATTACTATCGATTACTACAAACCGTGAAAGCATCTCTCGGAGCGAGAATGTCATATATGTATTATTATAGCCTGGGGACGCACGCCAAATTAACAGTAGCCCACGGTAGCTCAAGGGCCGCTCTTCGATTTACGCCAAAGGCATCCAGATCGCCGGTCAGTCACTACGGTTTCGACACGATACTTCCAAAGACCACGCCAAATCGCTCGCTTCGACCGGGAGCTATAGCATCGTGGACGATCGCTCAAGAAGAAGTCCTCAAGCACTCGCAAACTGATGAATATCCGTTTTTAGCGTTTCATTTCACGCGTTCCACCATCAGGGGCTGTTCGGAATCGGGTAATCGAAAAAAAACGTGTTCCCATCTCATTGGAACAAAGATCGACCTGCATCGTTTGTTCTGGCGTTCCGTCCCGACCCATCCCAAGGTTGGAATTCTGAGTGGATATACAACATTGATGACATCGTTTCTCCGAAGGGTATTTTCTGATTCTTCCGACGCTTCGAACGAGGCACAACGATGTCACATCACCGATCATTTTTCCATTCATTTCTCCTTCCTGGAGAGAATTCCGAGCGCGAGGGTGGACGGTAGCGAAAGTTAATAAGCGGCGAAACAAGAGTAGATTAGGCTAACAAAAGATACTTCTGTTCAGTTTTTTTCTTTCTCTTTTCCGCGAACGGCTCAGAAGAATCGATCCGAAGACTTCTTGAGTCATCCATCATGGCTTCACCCGCCCGCGCTACGGTCGTCGTTGCTACGTCCACGGCTAAAGGACGGTCACTCAAAATTGACCATTCTCTTCGCAAAGTCCCCTCCCTAATCAAATCGACACAATACCCGCGCACAGCCTCGAGCTCTGCGCTTGCTTTGGGGTGCGAATCTCGTCGCGGCGTTAAATTTTCGGAAGGTTTCCCCGCCTTCCGCGGGATTCTTTGTAATCCCCCGGGCTGTCTCATTCTTGCCGGTCCAAAGCTGCTCATGGAGGATCAGCTGACGCCTTGTGGTATTTGTCCCAGGACAAATGAGCCAATGATAGCCGAGAAGCTAGCCACTTGTACGCTTGCAGCGTAGTCCTCGGAACTTTTGCCACCGTATCTGGATCTAGGATTTCATCGTCTCTGGGAACAAACGACACCGGTCATCTGGTCCCATGTGCTCAAGCAGAACCGCCATGAGCCCTCGGCAGATAGCTATCCGACGCCAGCCCCATAGTAAACAATGATATTGCCCCCAATGCCATCGACTCGCATCGGAATTGGGCCACCACTTTGCCTGGATGGCTTGCTGGATCGCAGGATGGCAAGGCAAGGCAAGGCGTGGCAGGGTCCCCTCCCGAAGAGCGTTGTGCCAAGGACGACAGGGATCGACCAGCTGGTTGTCAATGACGATCGCCTTTACCGAGTGGAGGAAGACAGAGCAAGGAAGATCGACGGAAAGAAATGGGGCGAACCGCTGCGCTATCTTCTGAAG